TTCTGTTTTTTCTAATGGATGAGTCATAGTACGGATGGCCTTTTGTTATTCTTTAGTAAATTCAAACAAGATTATTTATTCCCTCATTAGGAAAACAATAAATCAGCAAACAGAAAAATGTGAAACAATGACTTTAAAAGATATTTGCCATATTTTAAAGTTATTGGTTTGGTTTGGCTTGTTTTGAATTTAACTTAATTTTTTAAAAATTTAATTTAAAAGGGATGACCAAAAAAGAGTGCTCCCAAAATCTTCTGGATTGCTATTGCTGAAGCCTGGAACCTTTTGATGGTGAGGTACCATAGGAGCCAACAGCTAAAGTACAATAAACCTGGGCACTTCTGGGACCCACATGTGCTGTCTGGAGCAATGGTGATTTGAGCAGAGCCAACAAGGAGTGATTTGCATGATGCACCTCCACTTTCTCCACTAGCCCCAAGGTCAAAAGGATATCCTGCTTTTTATGATAATTCATCCTTGCACTGTTCTTCTGAAGAATTTAACACATTTTTTTTTACATAGAGATATATCAAAATACTATTTCTTTTGTGATTGTATAAAATTAATCATACACACAAATTCAAAACCAAGTTTACTCTTTAATTAATAAATATTTTCTGCCATCCTATATTATCTTGATGTCCAACAATCACTAGCTGCAAAGCACAAAAACCTTTATGAGACACTCTCCTGACAGAAAATCTTGTAGCTGTTTCAAGTACTTCCTTAGGTGCACAGGACCGTGCTGTTTCTTTAAGAAGTGCAGATCTGGGGTTTTTTCCAGTTGCCAAGTGGAAATCTGGATTAGAGATGAGAAGAAAGGATTCCTTTCAAAATAATTTTGACACCTCGGTGAAAAGGAGGAGCATCCTCACAAAGGCGTGGAGCCAAAGTTCTGCATTAATGGATTCCATCCCTGGAGACAGAGGAAGGTGCGTGCTCAGAACGGAGAAACCCCGCCCTGGCCATGGATGTCAAATTCCCCAGCACTCAGTACACCCAGAGGTCATTAAACTGCTTTGGCTTCTGTCCCTCCTGCTGGGAAGAGAAAATGCTGTGGGTGCTGTCTCTGCTTCACCCCTATGCAGTCATAATGTTGGCTCACCCTTAAGAGCCTTCACAGCTGTGCTGTAACACAGCTAGTTCCCAACATGACTCAGATGAAGGATTTTATTTAATCTGCACAGGACTTTGGAAAAAAAAGAGAATTTTAGTTTGTGGAAACCTTGAGAATGTGCAAAGCTCAAAAAAGAGGACATGAGAACAAGAGGCTGGGTCTCAAAACTTGATTTCCCATTGTCTTAGGATAAAATTTCAGTGAAAATGGAAAGATGGGAGAAGAACGAAACCATTTCATTGCTTTGGCTGCCTTCATTCCTGTAATAGTCCGTTAGGGCATCAGTCATAGTTTGCATTGCTTCTAGCTCACAAACAGGAAAGGTTGAGAAGTATACGGCTGTGTTTTCAGGTTTTCTTTTTTTAGATGCAGTTTTTCTTATGGGTTCTTTGACCCACTGTGCTTTCTGTCACTATTTGCACTATTCATGGTGCTTTATTTGTGTGAAACTGTACACTCCTTTTCCAATTTGGAGATTCTTTACTATTATTAAAATCCACATAGAACAAAAAAAAAAAAAACCAAAAAACCTTTCTTTTTACTGGCATAGGAGTAACTGCAGTGGCAAAATTTGAAGATTCTCAGTTCACATGAAGCTCTCAGAAATAAGGAATATTTATCAACTGATTCTACAGGCCAGAACTTCGAGAACTTTTAAAGCAACACTTATATAATTTACTTACATAAGGACTGATCATTTGGCAGGGTGGACAAGAGGTCACTTGATAAATATGTAAAAGCAAATCTCTCATTTGTCTTTCTTAGGCAGAATGTCGCTAACCACAATACTCAAACAGGCACAAGGAATCCCAGATTGCATGAATATTCCAGCATCTGCTGGAGAGGTAGCCAACAGTTTTGATCTACACATCTTTTATGGTATCTACCATAGAGCACAAATGCATTCAATAACTTTTACAAGCAATTGTTTCAGGTTCCTCCATCAAAGCTGCCCCAATTTTGATGTGAGTACCTTTTCCAGTTTAGTCCAGATGCCTAGACATTGCACCCCTAGGAAGATGTATTAAAAAAGAGCCACCTACTAAATAATCCAAAATTGCCTGCAAGACTCAAGAACCTGTTTATTAGGGGGGCTGTTTCTGTGCAGAGGATGTACAAAAGAAGATTTTGAACCCAAAGTGTGCAGAGGATGTTCAAGGAATGTTGCTGTGCCACAGCCTCCTCAGGCCATGTAAGTAAAATGGTGATTGCCACTCAAAAGGAATTGACTTGTGACAGTAAGTGGCAATTTCCAGAGAGTTTTACACTAGAGTTATGAAATCAATTCTACAACCATTATTATATGAAGGTAACACTGATGAGGGGTGTTTATGTAGCTGAGCATTGGTGTGCATTGCTCCTTGAACCACAGCAAATACACTGCAGCCCCCAAGTAAGGAATATTGTTTTTATGGAATGTAATCATCAAAGATATGGTTTATACTTCTATACAGAAACCCCAGGATTCATTTCTGTTCAAATTCAAGCACAACTTGATTTGTACAGAATACATTGGAGAATCAACATATGTTGATACTCCAATGCCCATGGCAAATAGTAGGTGTTAGGGATAAATTTGGGCTCATAATCTAGCTATAGAATAGCATAATATTTAAGGTGGGCAATCCAGAAAAGTCAAAATTTAAATTTTACTCAGACAAGTGTTGCAGTGTAAAAACTGAAGGCAAGCATTAGTGAAAATAAGGGAGTTACCAAGATTGTTCTTTTTTTAAAAGCTTAAATTTAAGAAATTTAGAGAAATGTTTATTATTGTCAAACAGGCTAAAAAATTTGCAGAACTCAATGTGAAAGTGTCTTTAAGTCAAAGACCTTGAATAAATTCTATTTTTTCCTCAAATGTGAACACTTACCAAGTAACAGTCATTAGGCCTCATTAAAATTAAACAATCACTGTGGCAAACACGTAGACATTGTTACAGAAAATTGGCCTGCATGTGATCTTGATAACAGTTAATTCAGTTTCATTCTCTTTCTATAGCTGAGAATGGTTTTTATCCAGGGTTTGATATGTTTGTACATTTCTATTGAAGAGACACAAGCAAATCCAGGTTCTTGGAATTATTTTCTTGTACTATCTTATGTTCTGAACATAACTTCAGAACCTTGCATAAAAATGTGAAGCCTGTTGTATTATATTCTAGCATGGCTCAGCAGGAGCTGGTTATCTGTTTGTTGATTGTAGCTACTTGAATGCTATAAACCAAATAACCTAACCTGTTAAGTGATATGATCCTAGATATGAAAACCCAAACCTGCAGGAAATAGTTCTGCCAATGCAACAGAGACAGCATGAAGTGTTGGGGGATCCAGGGAAAAAAATGTGGTGTGTAATTCCTTTGGAATGTATCAAGGCATTCATACCTTATAAACATTTAAGACACAGAAGAAATGCTCAGGATATGTTAAAAGTGACATATGTTAAAAGTGACAAATTATTCAAGGCCTCTTCACACTTGCTTCAACCTGCTCCACCTCAGGTGACCCGAGCAGAAAAGGGTGTTTCAGTTTAAGTGAAAATTTATTTCAGACAAATAGGTTTTGCAATGAGATCCAGTACCTACTATATTAAACTTCAGGCTGTTCTTATTTTGTGATGCACACAGAGCTATGGGCCCCTTTTTTGGATGATAGTTCATGGCACTCACGAATTATTGAGGGGAGGGATGGTTCCCTGGTCACTGTAATCTCAGCAATACTTGAGAACAAATGAATGAGCACTTCTGCAGGACATGACCTGGATCAGATTGATTGACTGAGAGCAGCAATTGGTTTGATCATTGTTTGAGCAGAGATGTCCACTGTGGCAGCTTTCTGCATTCACTTTGGGGTCTTTTAAGGCTATATTCCCAGCAAAACTAGATTGATAACAAAACCTGCTTAAACCATCTGATTTGGAAAACAAGTTTGTATGTTCTGATCTTATTATCAGTGAAGTTTTGTGGAACAAAGAAATAACTAGGTTTAAAAGGCATTAGTAGTTTCAAGATTTCTTCTTTTTTTTTTGTCTTCTCTACCTTCTTGTTTGAGGAGCAAACAGACAAAAAAAAAATGTTCTGCATTCCTTTCAAATGTTGTAATGACAGCATCAAACTGAATTACTTGAAAAGATTTAGTTTGAGAGATTGATGCTTGTGATTTGCAATCTTGTTCTCTTCATAATTTTTTTTAATGTTTGCTTTCTCCCCAGGTAACACAAAATCACGTTGTGAGGTGGAAATGTGAGAAAAGCCCTGGAACAGAAGTGCGATTTTCAGAACTTCCTTTCATTAACTCTGATTGCACATTAGCAGAAATGCCCAGGTTTGCTTCTCCACTTCTGGGATTCTTTCAGTCTGTGCAGCTACACCTCCACTTACCTTTTATCTTTGTTAGGGAGCACTAAGAACTAAAAATTCTCTTTGGGTTTTACCCATTGGCTCCTAATTAACATGAAAAAATGCTTTACCCCGGGTGCTTTGGCATGGGGCTTTTTTTCATGTGCATATATGTCACATAGAGTGCACACTAACTGCTCATATACAGTGTCAGCATGCTTTTCGTACGCACACAAAAGTTCCAGATGTGCTGTGTATCTTGTTTGGTTGACTTTAGTCTTCTGTAAAGCCAAGAGAAATATTAATCATTCATTTACTGTTAGGGGATGGGTCTTCTTCTCATGTTTCAGTAAAGGGGGTGGAAAAGAAAAGTAAGCCAATTTTTTTCCTATTTAAGGCCAAAGCTGGGGAATGCTTGTGGCTGAGTTCTGTACATGGCCCGGTGCTGGAAGGGCAGGGAACAACCGATGTTGCTATTTTGAACAGATTTTTTTCTTCCCCCCCCATTTTTATTTTTGCACAGAGAGTCTCATGTCTAATATTTAGACATGATGAGCTCTGTGCAAAAAGTAACTTTGCTCATTCTTGCCGTGTTTCAACCCTCAGTTATTTTGGCACAACAAGTCGGTGAGTAATTCAAGCTTCTTATGATTTCATGTTTTTATTTTATTTTTATTTTTACCAATAATTTTAATAGCTTGTCAGAAGTGTGTATGCACGAATCTCACCAGAACACTTTTCCTTCACTAATTCAGCAGTCAGATGTTAAATGGTGAAGCTGAAAGCTGCAGGGATTTGCAGTATGATCCCAAAGGTTTTGCTTTGCTTTGCTTTCTTTAAAGTTAGAAGGACTGTACAGTGCTGTCTGCCTTGGCTGCATTTGTTCTTGTTCTTACTTGTTTTCCTGCTACAGACACCGAGGAGATTCTAAGCTGTTTCTTTTAACTCTTGGAATAACATTGTAACTGTTAGCTCTGTGCTGCCTGAAAGCTCTTTTTCAGAAGGAGTAAGTCTTTGCTTCCAGCTATTTTATTTGGAGTTCTCCTTTGTACTTGTTTGTCTTACACTGGCAGCGTGGGGGTTTCTTTCAACAATTTGCATGCAGGAAAAAAGAGCCTTAAAATTCTGAATGGTTTTGTTGAAGGAGTTTTTAAGAGTGATATATGAAAATATGTCAGCTTACAGAATTTTTACTTTGGCATAGAACAGGAGGGTAAATTAATTCCCTCAGCTGCAATAGTTTGAATCAGGCATCTGCAGGCTGTTTCAGCCCTTCACCAGACTGATTAGCAGTTGATGGTATGTGTAAGTCCATGTGAGTGTGTGCGTGCATGTTTACAGAGAGCAAGAACACTAAAAACCAACTGAACATGGAATTCAGAGGGGAGAGAAGTACTTTGTATACAAGAATTCAACCTAGAGTGAAGATAAGTGTGGTATGAGTATTTAAGTTAAACAGATGACATTCCACAAGTACAGCTGACCTTTTTTGGATGTGCTCAGTTCCTGCTTGCCAGATATTGTAAACCAGTCCTTCCTTAAGATAAAACACTTTTCTCTCCAGTAAGTATGAAAGATCAGCAATTTATTTATTCCTACAGAGAGGCGAGGAATAACCTTACAATTAACTCGATAAGCAGCAGCCAAAGAAACTGTAGTGCTGTAAAGGAAAGCCAAATGCCTTAAAAATCACACCCTACACTACTCTGTATGACACACATCATGAAAACAATTACTTGAGCCAGTTCATGGCAAACCCATCTGTCTCACCATACCTGGACAGGGACCTCTGCCGAGGGGTGAGTGACTCCACCAGGAGCAGCCTGTTGGCACTGGATCACTTGGAGCTCAGGAGGATCTGTGCATGAGCAAAGCAGGCAACAGCCTCTGCAGCACCAGCCCCCCTCACCTAGCACAGACACAGGCTAAGCCTAAGTGTCTATTGAAAAAACCCCCAACCAATGCATATATTCTGTAGAGAGTAAACAGAATTTACTGTGAATTGACCCTTTTCTGTTTCTGCTTTGCCGTATACAAACTCTCTCTCCAATAATGAGTAAAGATTATAAAATTCAGTGATTATAAAATTGGAGCAAATGTGTGCTGTGAGTTTTCTCTGCATACAGCAGCAGACAATATATATATATATATATATATATATATATATTGTTTCTATTTAAAATGCAGTAAGTGTTCTTTTGTATACCTGTGTCTATCATCAGAAGGATAAGCACTTAGAGCAAATCCAAATTATAGAGAAGGAACATCAGTTTTATTTCTCTCCATAAACAAACCCCTCCTGAGTGCCAGGTCTCCTTCCCTCACTCTAGTCATATCCCTGGACATTTCTGAGGTGCAACATATATTTGACTCAATAATTGGTAAATTTTGGGTAGAAGAACAATACACAAATGAAGTGTGAATGAGTTATTCTCTTTTCCCTGCCACATTCCTGTTTCATGGTGTTGTAACATTTCCTTACTGGGCTAACTTCCATACTATTTACAGGGATGAGGTTACACAGAGAGACTGATAAATCACTAGTTATCCCTTAAAAATTGGATGCTCTCCTCACTTTAGAATGTTTCTTTCCACACATTTGAATATGCTTTTCTCACAGAAAATAATAATTGAAGGAGTTGATTATTCATATCACTAATTCATGTGCAGGGCAGGGAATGGACAGGGAAACCAATTTTTCCACAACTGAAAAGAGAATTTCCAGACATGCTGAAATGCTCTCTCTTGTCAAGAAAAACATTTATATGGTTAGTATCAAATGTAAGTGAATATAAAATTTTCCTTAGGAAAGCCTTCCAGGACACAAGACTTGGCAAGATATTAAGGAAACTGCTCTGTATACACTGAGTTTTGGGTAGTCAGATGTACCCCTGGGCTATGCATTTCTTTGTCTTGCTGTAATAGCTTGGAATGGGGATTTGAGTACAGCCTCAGGCTAAACTTCTTCTAGAGCTTGGGATCAAGGCACTGTGCAGCAAGGAATACTCTGTGAACTCAAAAACTGTGTCCTTGTAACCCACCAGGATGTTTTTAGCCTGCAGGGGAAATCACTTTGACACAATCCAGGTTTTCTGATGTGTGTCAGGGCTTTCCAGCCCTGCCCATGTCCAAGATAAGATGCCCCCTGATGGCTGACAGGACATGAAGCCAGGACTTCAGGACATGACAGATGATTCAGAGTCCAGCAATGTACATTGGGTTCCACCCTTTGAAGGCACCTTTGCATCCTGCATATTAAACTGCTCAAAAGTGTAAGATGTTAGAATGCTTCTTTAGGAAAGAAATCCATTCTCCACCCTAGATGTGCAAGCATTTGCTAAGCCTTGCAGCCTGCACTCATCCCCTTTGTCTTGAGTTTGTAGAGGCAATCATGACAGTTACTAACAGAAGACAGAATAAGTTTTAGCTAGCCAGACTGGAGGTATTTGGCAGTTTCCACTGCCTACAAAGGAAGCACATCCACAGTGCCCTCACATCAGTGCCAAAAGGGAAGTCAGATGGATTTGGGCCTGTCTCAGCTGCATCTGTGATGCTTAAAGGACACCTCAGTGAGGCAGAGCTGGACACTTCTCGTAGGTACACCCCAGTCCTTGAGGAACTTTGCTGAGGTCATTAGGAAAACTCTACTGCTCTGAAAGCAGTGTGGCAGCAATGCCAGAAACCCTTCAGTACTAGTCCAAGTAATTTTTTGCTCTAAGGTAATTTAGTGTTTTCCTTCTAATGCAAGTATTATCTTGGATGTTTGGTCAGGAAACTAATTTCTGAGGTAATGGCTGAATGCTAAAATCTCTCTGACAAGACTTATTGACCTTTCATACTACTTTCAGTTGCAAATTGCAGTTTTAAAATGATATATAACCATTACATGTAGGTTTCAGGAGGCAGCGTGCAAATTACTTTTCATGCTGAGTACCCATTTCTGATCTCAGAGAAAAAAATTATATTTTAAGAAAACTTGTAAACAGCTGATTTGGCCATTTTGCTTTCTTTTCTTATTAACTGGGAAGGATTGGGTAGCATGTGAAGTGGATGGGTACTGTACAGATGTAGTTTATTTGTGAGACTGCCAGACTGTCATGTTTAGCAGTTAGCTGTATGGAACACTGCACACATGTGCTCTTTGTTGATAAATTTCCAGTTTAACGGTAATGCTAACAACAGAACTATCTCTCCTCAAAGGTTTTGGTAACTCAGAAAGGTTTCCCTCCAGAATTTTGACAGTAAAACCAGATGATGCACATCTGTGTGCCAAGAGATAATTAACCATCGTAAGTAACCTGGACTATGCAAAGTAATGAAATATCTGGGGTCTGCTCCTCTTCTTCCATTTTTCCTAGCTATTTTTTTACCAAGCGCACAGCAGACAAGGTTATGCTTAGGAAAATTGAAACATTGCTTTCTGGTCTGGAAAAATCATGCTAAATGAAAGCCTGGGGAATCCACCCCCTCCAGACATTATATATATGTTCTTGGAAATAGGACAAATTTCATAAACGCATTTTATATCACACACCCCTGGAACACATTAGCCTTAGGAAAATGAGACTATTATATAACCCTTTCATTATTTTCCAGATTTGTTTTTGACTTGAGACCAAATCACCAAATCTACACAGACTGATTTTTCTGAAAGAGGAGGTGGAGTTGGAAACATCCACTGCTTTATTACAGGGGGAAGAGGCAGAGGTAGAAGGGTGTTGTTGCTGGCACAAACCTCACTGTTGATGCCTGGGTCAGAGTCATTACATTTGCTCTCCTCTTAGTGCTGCAGATTACAAGCAGATCCTGTTTCCTCTTCCAGCTTCTGCCAAAGTGTTGAGGTTTGAAATAAGCAGCCAGGTGTCACTTGCAAACTCTGCTGATGCCAGCCTTACACAACAGCTGGGGGAGAGTTGTAATTAATGCTGCTCAAAAAAAAAAAAAAAAGGAAATTACCATCACTTTTTTGTTCCACAGGCTAGCTGAGAAACCAGACTGACACTGTTCTATTATCCATTGTCCCAGTTATGTGCTAGTGTTGTTCACACCTTGTTTTAATCAGAAATCTGCAGAAAATGGGACATACCTGCCCTCCTAATTGGCACAGCATACTGAGGGTTGGAGATGGAAGCGATGCAGAGCACCATTTAGCTTTTGGGGTTAAAAGCAACCTCTTCAGAGTTGAAAGGTTCAGCCTACCAGGAAGGGCAAACCATAACAAAGTGCACTTTCCCAGGCTAGCGGGCACCTGGAGCACTGTATCACTCTTGATGTTTCTGTGGTAGGTTCCTAGTCTGCTGAAGAGCACAAGCCACAGCTGCTGTAAGAGTTGCAAGATTTAATTTGTTGGTTTGGAGTAATAACTTGTCAAAGCTCACAATATTAGATATTAGTGCAATGGTCATGCCATTAATGTTCCAGATTATGCTGTCCTTTAGTCATGCTTGTTTTAGAAACTAGGCAAAAGATCTCAGTTGAGGAAAGGAAAATTGTTGGCAATGGCAAAGATATGTTGTTAACAAACAGGGGTTTTTATGGTCTTAAAGTAACTGGATTAGGGTCCTACACCATTGCAGTTTGATATGATGGACACAGTTCAATTTATTATTGGTGGCACCCAAAAAAATAAAACAGACTTGAGAAAGGTATAATAAAATCTGTTCTGATTCAACATTGTTACTGTTAGCCCATTCTCCATATTGTAGCCTGGTAAATTGTAGATTACATGACTTTAACATGGTTTAGAGTTCAGTATCTACCACCAATTGTCTATAATTTTGAGACATTCTGATTTTGGTTTTTGGCAGATGATAAATAGCCTTCAACCTTAAATGGAACAAAAATTTCAGTGTCATCATTTACCTGCTGCAATACTTTGCCAGCCTATTCCTGCTTCTACATATCCATGGTGATACACCTTGTACAGAAGGAGGACTGGGCACAGATGTGATTCCTGCTCCAGGATGGGTGCACAAAGGGTTATTTTACCTCTGTAACTGCAGGTCAGGCTGTTGAGTTGGGTGGGTGCAGAGCATGCTGCAGCCCTGGCTCTCAGTGTGCTGCCCACCTGCATCCCAGGGGATGCTGTGGATTCCTCTTGGAGGGCTGGCTCTCTGAGGCCATGCTTGTCACCGCAGTGGTGTCCCTGTGGCAGAGATGCTGTGTGGTGGCTCACTGCTGGTGGCTTCCCACAGCCTTGGTGACTGCTGCAGGACAGCTGCTTCTCTAGGGATTTTCTTCCACTCAGTCTTTTGATGCACAGGGTTCATGAAGCTTTCCATTCTGTCCTCTCTGTGGCTTCCCTGACAAGAGACATTTTGTCACTGGAAAAGTCTGTAAGGAATTCCCACAGAATTTCCTGATTTTTCTCCATTCAACACAGTCAGACTTTGTTTCAGGGAAATAAGATTTATATGTGGTGGCCATGCTATTAATATTTCTCACATGGCTTTGAGACTGTACTTAAAAAAAAAAAGATTAAATATTAACCCTTGCATTGCTTCTGACTATGGTTAATCAAGAGAGAATCTCCAAGTAAAAAATTACGAATTACTGGAATCAGAAAGTACGAGAGACAGGAGGAGGTCTGCTAACCCAATCTTAGATGCTGGAAGTGTGCTAGGAGGAGTGAGATCCATCATTGGCTGTAGAGCAGCTCATCTTTCACATATAGGTATAGTACATTGTATTTTTCATTTATAATTTTAAGCAGTCATTATTTTTTCTCATCTTCTCTTTTATAGGAAAGGTTCTTTGAATTTTGATTAGAGGAAACTTAACCTACTTCCAGCCACTGCTTCTCTTTATTTATTTTCACTTCAGAGCCAATCTTGTCTCTGAGTTTGCAAAGTGGAAGCCTCTGCCTGTTTCATGTCAACATGACAATGGAAAACATGATATAACCCCCTCCAACAACAACCGCTTGTTGGCTTTAGTTTGGATAAACTTCAGCTCTGGGACTTCTGGCTTTGTTTAGTTTAGCAGAGGAGATTCCTTTCAGATTAGCTCAGAGACTACTTCCATTTCCCCCCATTTATGTCAAACCCTTCATTTAAACATGAACTATCAGAATGAGAATGCAAATGGTACCTCCTTTAACAATGTCTGCACATTTTTGTCTTGCTTTAATTCACACAAGTACTCCATGAAGAGATATCTGCCAGGAAGGAGAAAGCATGCACAGGACTTTGAACAGGAAGAATGTGAGGGTAATGAAAATATATGTATTTCAAGGCTGAATGTGGCTTTTTTGTTTTGAGAGCCTAGGCCTTCTCCTACAGCTAAAAGGGCACCCAAATGACTGTCAAGAAATGAAGGATGTGACTTTTAGATTTAAGACTTTAGCAGAGTTTAGTCTTCAGCAAAATGCAAAGTTATCCACAGCCACTGGAGACATATCCCTTTCTGGTGCTGGATTTCTCTTTCAAGTCACTGTGCATCCCACCCTGGAGGGATGAGAGCAGTCACCTCTGCTCTCCCATCAGGTGAAACCTTTCCTCCTGAGTGCAAACCTTTCTTGGGCTATTTGGGCAGCTTCAGGCACCCCTTTTTTCCCAAGTCCAGCACTGCAAAGGGCAGCAGAATCACAGGAACAACCCAAGCACGTTTTGCAGCAGTAGATATGAAAGGATGATCTCTGTCTGGAAAATACTTCCCACAGCAATTCAGCTCTGGCAGTTCTTGGAAAACTCCTGGACATAATCAGTTCCCACTGAAGCTCCTCGCAGTTCACGCCCAGTGACCAGTGGGTGCATTAGAAGGCTGTCTGCAGCAAACATCTTTTTTTCTCTCTTCTTTCCCTTTGTGCTGCTTCTTCTCTTCTCCTTCTTTCCATTTTCTTTTAGGAAAATAAGCAAGAACAAAATTGCATCTTTTTTTTTTCAAAGAGATGAGGCAGAAACAATTGCTCATCCGAACAGAGCTAATGGGAAATATGGGAAGCATCGCTCATTGTTCCTTTGATGTTCACTGTAATTGCCATGCTGAGCATCAAAGGAGAGTAAACTACATCCCCCATGCTTTCCTTCAGCTATAAGCAGCAAAAATAGGATTCATATTTTCTTGGAAAACACTTTTATGTTCATGAGAGCCTCTTTAAAAAAAAAAAAAACCTACAGCTTCTCTGGTTTTGGCTTTTAATCTACTGTATGGTGTTTGCTTGTTTCCCTGCAGAGCAGTAGTCATTCTGTGCCAGCTGTTTAAGAGAGGAATGTCCTAGTGAAAGCAAACAATGGGCTGTGTAGTGGGAATTGCAAATCTTTGAAAAGAGTAATTGAAATCTGCTCAGACATTTTGAAGATTCTTTGCACAATATTCTAAGGCTGTTGGTGGCTTAGCTGTTGGCAGGGTGGTCCTCTTTGTAGCTCCCTCTTTTTTGTATGAACAGAATAGCATTAATATGGAGGGGTGGGGGGAAGAAAGAAGAGAGGTTTTCTAGTCCAACTGATTATTTCTGAGCAGCCGAAGAGAGAAAGATTGCTGTAAATGTCTTTCAGTGAAGAATCAAAAAAAGTGAATTGTGCAGAGCCTTTTCATTTATCAGGTGTGCTCTGGCTCTTCCACTCATACCTTTTAAGGGCTGCAACAGATAAACTGTGCTGGATCAGGTTGTGTCTGCTGCAGATGTTCCAGCCCTCCTGGGCTATGTGGTGCTGTTTATTCTCACTCTGTGCCAGCTGGGGTTGTTGCTGCACAGAGCAGGGAGAGCTAAATGTGTGCCAGGCCTCAGGCAGCCACTTCAGTAGCAAGGCTGCTGACCTCTGATATTAATAAAAAGCCAGATCTCTGCTTGCAGGCTCTTCGCTGCACCAAAAGTGTGAATTTTCACCTCACAAGGGAATTAGTTAGGAAGATCTGTAGGTCTTTGTGCTTGAAAAATGGCCAGACATAGAACTTGATATTTAAAAGTGTCTCCAAAATTAAATTGTCTTTAGTACCCTGAGAAAACCCTCACAATACTTACTTTAGTAGCCCTAGGAGGTTGACAATGAGAGCGTTGTATCCAGGGTACAAATAGCCATTTAATATCCTCTATGAGGCAGATTAAGAAGAATTTCAAATACTGCAATCCATATCCAACAAACTGTCCAAAATGGATGTGGGGTGAATTAGTACAAACTGGAATAAGGAGTGAATGAATACAAACTGTTTTGCAGATAAATCTAGGTTAATGATGCTCTATGCATTTAGAACCCCACCACAACGTTCTGAATTACAAATACCCTTAATTTATTGGCAGCCAAAGATATGATTCTTTTCTTTAGACAGTATGCCAGAGCACTTTAATCCTTCACTGGAATATGAAATGCAAGAACCAAATCCTTCATTTACTTCCAACTTCTGAAATTACAGGGAAACCAATAAAATCGTGCAGGGACTTAGGCCAGCGTAGAATTTGCCCCCCTGCTGCTTTACTCATCTCAGATGTAAATCCATTGTGGCTGTGGAGTTATATTGGGGTGACTTTGTCCAAGGTATCTGAAAATATAAATGATATTACCACATGTATTATACTGCCATTGTAACATTTCCCATCTGCTTCAGCCTCAGGAGAGAAGCATTGAATCAGGCTGATCTCTTCCAAGGCAAACCACAGAAACAGCATTGCATAAATCTGTTCACTCTCTCACGGAGCTGAGGGGAAAGAGAGGATCATGTCCCACTTGAAATTTTAATTACCTGCCAAAAATTGTTTTAATTACAAATTTAGACAATGCAAAACAAAAGTCATACATTTTTCCCCACACAGTGTTTAGGTTTTATCATGCTGGAAGCTTAAAGCATCATTAATTAAGGAGTTATAGTTCGGTGTTTTAAATGAGTTTCTATGTGGACCAAACTTCAACAATTATCAATTTGCATTCGTTCCCTTTTTCTTATCAGATCAAAAGCTGAACCTCTCTCTCATGAGGTTTTGGATCTGTCAGAGTGGTTGTAGAGTCTGGGAAGCCTGCGCACAATGACTTTTCCAGTTTTTTCTTTGCTCTTCCCAGGACAGACCTATTCAAGAAATGTTTCAAAGAACCCTCCAATGTTATAAACTCTGCCTGGTCCTAGCTAAAATCAGGAATGCAGAACTATGTCTTTGAGCTACACCTTGGGGCTGACTTTTTTTTTTTAAGTTTGGCAAAATCTTGTGCTGTATTTTAATAAATTTTTCCCATTAATTGATCCTAGTAATGTTGAGCTTGAACTATTACTTTTCTTTAGAAAAGAATGTTTTTTATGTTAGGCCAGCTTCTTATGGAATACAATTGGAAGTGGTCAAGTGTTCAAAACTAACATAACCTTTACACTTGGATTCTGACTCTAGAAGTCTTCATTGACTGCCTAAGGAATGAGCAGAATACATGTTTAAAGAAACTAATAAATCCATTAAATCATCAGAAATCAGATTGGATCTTGAATTTATGTCCATTTTTGCTTAGTTGAAGACAAGTCTTTATGGAAGAATTTGTTATCATTCACTCAAATGATAAGTACCTTAAAATCATATTTCTGCAGAGTAGTATTAGAATTTATGCTAGCACTGCAACTAAATAGCCACAAAAGAAGTTCTTGCAGCCTGTTCCTTATTTTTAGCAGGACACCACATGGCACAAAAAGTGATGTGCCAAAAAATATTGTAATGTAAGAACAGAGGGGATGGAAAAATCTCATAGGCATTTTACCATTAACTGAAGAGTAGCTGAAGTATGATGCAATGATCCCTCTAAAAGACTTTGTCTGAATTATGATGAAATGTCTCCTTACTTTGTGTCCTGCTCTAATGCTAATGTTACCCTTAGTAAAAGATTTGATCTTTTAGGCACTGAAGAGCTTCAGTTAACACCAGAATGATTAGAAGCTAACAATTTTTAAGTCTGATTCAAAGCCCAGTAAAATCAAGTGAGGTTCTGATCAGGCAGTGGTTACCCTTAATCAGGGAGGAATTATCTGAATTCTGCAGCTTTGTTGGAAGAAAAGAGGTTGATCTCTACTGAAAAGATAGAAGCATAAATATAATTTAGTCCCATAGTCAACCTGTTGAGAGGGGACACTGGAGAGGAAATCCCAGAGTAACATCTCAACACAGATGGTCATCCAGGAATATCTTCCTCCCTTGCAAAAAGCAATTTGACCCATGATGTTGTCAAGGAATAGCTAAAAAAAAAAAAAAAAAAAAGGTATAACTGTCTCTTGAATGCAGCAGAAGTTTGTCCTCAAAATTACTTTTATGAGTTCAGGACCAGACAGTCAACATTTCTCTGGGCAGCCCCGAGAAAAGAAGCAAGGTGATAGAGCAGTCTGCTTGATCCTGCCCCTTGTATGACTCAGCTTGAAATGACAGCTCTGCCAAAAAACAACCCTCTCCAACTAAACCAGCAGAGAAACCACCCTGCACTTTGTTTGCTAATTACCAGTTTTGAAACAAGCCAGTTCTTTTGCCATGGTTTGTCGTGCCAGAGGCCAGCTGAAGCAGGGAGGCTGTTGTGTAACAACATCTCTGCTGGGATAGCTCTGGTCACGATTTCCTTGCAGCACTGCTGTGGCAGGGTGAGCTTTGGAAGTTGTATGAAGAACATCATTCCAGGGTGTCAGCATGTGTGCCCAAGTAGAGCAATTTGTGAAACCTAAACCTCTGAAGATAAAACAGAAAAATTAGAGTTTTTAAATCACATTTTGAAATATTAGAAAAAACCCAATAAGCTACAGGGGAAATAGAGGCATTTTGTATTTTACTTGGTAACAAACATGCTTAGGATATATTCTAATCCTGATATTTCTTGGTTTCTAAAGGCTGCAGAAAGGTTGTGGCATTTGTAGCATATAAAAACAAATGAAGGGAACAAGGAATGAGCCGTTTAAAATGCAAGCACTTGTTTGTACCGGTGCAGGCCTGCTTTTTTCTTATTTATTTTGTAATCTGACATACAGACTGGGTGTGGGTCTCGAAGCAGGGACAGTTTGGCTGTGTGACGCAAGGATCCTTCACCTGAGGATCCAGACTCTTCTGTACATTGCCAGTGAAACAGCACATGACTCCATCCTGCAACACCTCTGACAGACAAGTACAGTATTCCGAATGCTTAACCAGCATTCTTTTAAGCAGCTTTCTCTTTCTTACTCTGCATCTGAGAAAACAGCAAAACTGGGATGAGCGCAGCAGCAGAACTGTTCCAATGCCAGCTTTCTTGGCAGACAAGAATCCCTAGAAGCAAGAAAGCTTCAGTTTCATTCTGAAAGCATGGGATGTAGCTGTCCTTTTTGGTGTGAAACTTGGGAAGTCTGTGAACTATTCATTTGTGCTCCTTTTCCATCCCACCAGACAGCAGCTCTTCCTTCTACAGCTCCCAGAGCATCAATGGATTTTTATGGTTGACCCACTTTGGGTCAACATTTTGATGTTTAGGTCTGCATTTAGGGGTTTAATAAATGGAGGCTTCATTACCTTCAATCACATGTGAACAAGCCTTACAAAATATTCCATCATTACTATTAAACCTGAAAAGATCCTAATATGTATGGATACCTAAATTGGCCCTTATGTCCTCATGCATCATGTGAAATGGATTCAATTAATTAGCTGATTAAGACAATTCCAGCTGAGAGAATGTTTGAAGGCTTTGCAGTTAAAAAAAAAAAAAAACAACTGATTAAAAGATTTCTTTTCCTTTTTTTCCACATCTTTTCCTGACTGCTGTGACCCAGACAGGGTTTGAGCCCTTTCGAGTACTCAGCACTGACCGGACATGCCAACAGACCAGGCCATCCCTGCTGCTGCAGCCAATTCATTCATTATGAGCCTGCCTGTTTCCATTACTAATGATGGGATGGAACGAGTGTGTTTGGGTTTCTTGTAAACATCATCCTCATACCAGACAGGGAGCCCAAACCATTTGCCTCGAGGTAGATGCTGTGGCATTCTTTTCTGCTCAGGAAATGGAAAGCAGCATTGCTGCACATGCTGGGGTGGATTCCTCCACCTACTCCAGTAGGGGAGAATGATTGTGTTTGTATTGAAAATAGACAACATATCTTCCTTCTACTTTGTGCTTTGCTTAAACAATGTATCAGACAGTGCTGGGGTATGCAATTAACAGATGTATTTACTACAGAAGAAATGTAAAACAATTTTTGAAGTACTCATCCTCCAAAGGAAATGACCAAAACTAGGTCAGGGTGAGGAAGCACAGGTTTTGTACAGTTAAAACAGTAACACAAATGCTTTTCTTAACTTCGTCAGGCTTTGGATTCTGTCAAAGTTAGAGGCAAGGCCTTCTTCATCTTGCTGCTTTAGCCTTTACCAGATTCACTTTAAATACAGCAGAAGTTGTTTGTTTGACTCATTGTGTTTGTGATCAGATTCTCACAGACCAAAGCTCCTCAGTTTTGCTTCCCAGGCCATCATCAGGCAGCTGCTGGAGGATCATGAGTCACCCCTGTGTGGACTATTGCCCTCTCTGAGGCAGAACCAGACAAGTTCAAGATGTTTTTTAATTTCTAACCCTTTAGTCACATCTCTGTAAATGGGATATGCAAGTCTGCTACTAATGCAATAGCTGGACATTGCCTTTGTCCAAAGTGGAAAAGCCTGTGGTTTTTGAGGATACTATTAGGAAATTTTTTCCTTTTGCCATAAAATTGTGGTTAAGTGATGATCATAGTACTTGCACAAATGCAAAGCCAAAACCAACCACAGAGCAGGTCAGAGTCTCATATGATAACAAATTCCCCTTTACCTCACTGGGACTGGGATTATGTCCCGTATGACATCTGTCATCTTTCAGGCCATATGACAATGGCCATCTGTGTTTTCCCTTGCACACGTTTGGGCTCTTCTATATACCCCACTTATAGGTCCTTTGGAACTAAATTGTGATTTTCCTTTCAGCTTTCAATATTGGTTCGCTTATGGACAGCTGCCAGTCTTCCTAGAATGGGAAATAATTCAAAACCAACATACAACAATTATTGTCTTGCCTTTTTTTATTTTATTCAGTATTTGGGCTGGCCCAGGGAAGTGCTACACACAGCAAAACCTATAACAACATGAGTGCTCGGTAAACAGCATAATTTCAAATTAATTCAGGCTTTAAAATATTAAACTTTTATAACAGTGCACAAGAGATTGACAGGGCTTCCAACAAAGCATTGCAGTAAGTGCCAGAGAAGTGAAGTACAGCCATCATATTTAGGGCTTTGGGAGGAAGAATAAGATTGTGCATTGCCATAGACAAATACTGTTGAGATCTAATGTTTCTTAAATCTCAGGCTAATGGGAATGTTTAGGAATCAATAAGAAAAGGTGGCTAAGGCAAGTATGTGGCTGTTATACCACAAGTCTAGAAGCAGACAAGTCAGCTTTTTTATAACCTCATTATTCCTATATGTTACTCACCAGTGCTTTAGCACAAATCAGCTTTCCAAAGGATTTTGGAGCAAACAGTTAATCTTTATGAGCAATGCAAAATGCATTATGTCATAACATGCTGACACACAGATCTACATCTGAGCACAGAGGGGGTGTCTTTAACACTCCGAGTCTTCCCAGATGTAAGTTTCCTTTGGAAATCTGTTTAATACTTTCATTCTGCCAAAGGCCACAGCAGTTTTCATTGCAGCTCTCCTAGCTTATTTCTTAATTCATTTAACAATGTCCAGAAAGTTAGAAGCAAATATGAATATTATATCCATATGTCTTCAAATTTTTGTCATCTTCCTGTTAAATGATGCCATCTACTGTAGCATAACTGAATGACAAGTTTCTAAAAATGCAGAGAAATCTCCTTTATTTCCTTATTAATGTAAAATTATCAGGCATTGTGACATATTTTAAATTTCTATGGTTTTTATTGATAATTTGAATAATATATGGCAGCTGAGTATTCGCAGTGTAAAAAATTGGGCACTGAGGAAATACTGCTTCTGTCTTGGAAAAAGAATCTTTATTAACTAGCAGTGCAAAAACAGGGGAAAGATAGCCTTTTTCTGCTCCTCATTGGAGCTGGCCTCTTTGCTGTAAGGCAGCAAGATCACATCTCTGAAAAAAAAAACTAAACAAAACAAATAAATGAAAAAAAGTAATTATGAAAAAATTGATGTAGGAATGCTCAAATCCTTGGATATGAATTTCCTAGTAAATAAGGACTTTGTTGTTTTAAACACATAGTTTAAAAATATGTGGTTTTGAAAGGCTAAGAAAGTGATGAAAAAGCTGAAAATCAGAATATTACAATCAATCAAACACATCTGGGTACAGAAAAGTGTGTATGCTATGCATCTCTCTATATGTGTATGCAATTCATATAACTGTACATACAAGTGCAAATAGTAACAGTATTAGGTTCTTTTAAGTCCATACAATGGTATTTTTATTTAACAACTATGACTTGCCCTAGGAAAAAGGAATTTCTCCCCTTCCTTATTATGGTTCCAAATGAAAAGAGCCTTTTAAGCTGCAGAGCTGGTAGGTGCTCCAGCAGAGTGACAGCCAAGCAATCCATTGCTCTGGGTGGTGTGGATCTGTGCCCCTCCATGCTCTCCAGGGTGCATCCAGCCACTCCTCCAGGATGGCTCACAGGCTCTAACCTCCCCAGCAGCTCTGCTGAGGCTCTGCCTCCCACAGCACACAGCTTTCGAGGGCTCCACATGTGCAATGAGCCACTCTATGATTTGGTTTTTCTCTTGAGTCACTTCAAGATTTCATTCATAATCCTTCACTTCTATGTTTCAGCCTTCCTGTTTGTCAGGAAACGTTTGTCATTAGCCTTGACAAGACTGGGCAGCCTGTTTTTTCCCTAAGTGCCCACAGCAAGATCCTGGTTTTTGAAAAGGAGGAAAATGTTTCTTGCGGGAACAGTCGGTATCTAACTAAGCAGAGAATCAGCTTATTTCCCTGGGCTCCATGGATATGGTTCTGTGGGGTGAGAACTGGGAAGGCAAGCAACATTTTTAGAAAGTAGCTCTAGCCTGGCAGATGAGGAAGGAGGTCTAGACCCTATTCAGAGGGTACACATTGTTAGGTCCTTTGAAGAAGCATCCTCTGATGCCATAACCCTGTGACATGTGGGTGTGGGGAAGAGGCCGTCCTGAAAATGGGCAGCTCTTCTACATCTCTCTTGTGCAGAATATGAAGTTTCCAGAGAGGCCCAAAAAGGGCAGAAAAGGAAAATCTGAGTTTCTAAGTGATAGAGAATGTCTGAGGGGAGTGAGTTTTCATATGCCATTGGAAGGTTTTCCATGTTAAGATTTTTTGTGCGGTCAAAGGAAGGTAAAATACTGGATTCCAGCTTGATATCAAGCAAAGAAAAAAATATTGGCTTGAAAATATCTGGAAAGGGTTTTTGAAGCTTTGTTGTTCTAATCAAGACAGTGGTCAAAATCAACTCTTAACCATAAGGAGTGCCAGCCTTAGCAAGTCGACATTTTCCTGTTTCCTTCTTTTATAATTGAAAGTGCAAAAAAAAAAAAAAAAAAAAAACACAAGATGGTGTGCATAGACATGGACCGCCTGTAGTAGGATTGAAACTGGGAAAATAAACCCTCCTGTTCCAGGGAGTGCTCTGCCCCAGGATCTAAACTCTGGCTCTCCCCTCAGGGAGCCATAATTGTATTCCCCATTGCCCTTCCAGAGCTCAATGGAGGTAATGAATTCCATGGGTGAAATAGAGGAAAATGTCAGGTCCGTGTGACCAAGCAAAACCAGCTGAGTGAGAAAGTGGGAAGGGAGCAGAAGGGGCAAACTAAGCTCAGTTGAGCACCTGGCAATAAAGAAAGGGAACTGCTCAGGTACAAAATGAAAGGATTTGCAGAAGATGAAAAGGGAAGTTATGTGTTATGGGAAAGGTGAAATGCAGAGGAGGCATGAGAAGAAAGGAAATGCATCTAAGTGTGCCAAAGAACATTGGTATGGAATGGGAATACGCACCCACAAATACAGAGAAGAAGAAAAAGGAAAAAAAGAGACCAGGATGCTAATGCAATGATGGAAAGATTAAAAACAGAGATTAAAAATACAGGGAGGGAGAAAAAACCCATAGGATACAAACTGCAATAAATTTGGGCTCGGTCTCATGCTAGATAATTGTGGCCATTACAATTTGATGATATTCAGAAATTTTTTCCTGGAGCCAGCGGCAATTTTAACGTCAGAGTTTTGAATCACATCTTTTGTCTTTTTTTTTTTTCTTTTTGAAGGGTATAGTAGGTAAATTATCCTCATATTAAAGTTTTAAGAATGATGTAGGCACAAAAATAGCTCTTTCTCCAGAATGTTGTTTTTATAAAGTGAATTATTTTTAATTATCCATGAAAAAAAAAATCTTATTAAATTATTCATGATGTTCAGTGATACTTATGTTTGCAATCTAAGACTTCTAATAACATCTACAAAACTTAAATGAGCTGGTAAAACTCAAATTAGATACTCTTAGTGTTATTTTACATTGGGTTCTTAAATGACCTGGCTGTCTGGATTGTGTTTTTTTAAGAAAATACCATCCCAAAATTTAATGTGTCAAGGCAGTTTTTGTCAACCTTTTCATATTCATAGTCTATAACAAGTTTTATCAGTAAAACAGCTGTTGGAAGGAATTCACAAAACCATGAATATTACAGATGAACAATATTTTTTTCTGAAGAAAAGACACTTATAACATTTGAGCAGGCCAGCTGATACAATAATTGCAAACCATTTGGGCAATTAATGTGAGCATTTTTTCAGATCTGTCACATATGCTGGCTTTCAAAAAACTCTTTGAAGCCCCTTGGTGGCAGCTATTAATGCAAGATGCTGGAGACAGGGGTTGGTGCTGGACAGATGGCTTATCCCACATCCATGTGCAAGTGCTCCTGTTGGCACGTGGGGCCGGTGGCACTCTTGCTGGAGAGCTTAGGCATGTTTACTCTTTAGCTGCAGCAGAGAATTCGATTGTTAATTAGACAGTAATTCTGTCTGACACTAAAATTACTCAAGACAGAAGATTATCACATATTTAATTGGGCTTTGGCTCAGCTCCAGGATGTTTTCACTGGTGTCTGTTTATAAACTCAGAGCAGACTCTACAATTAATGTAACAGATTCCCCAGTGCCTGAAGAGCAACATTTAGCCTTTTACTTCACATGCATGAACCAGGAAACCAAACAAACTATCCAACAGCTTTCATGTTACTCATTCGTAATTTGGAAAACACATTTGAAATAATATCCAACACAACTTTTTCTGTTTCCAGTCACAGGATGTACCCATCTTGGGCAGGCTTATGCTGACAGGGATGTTTGGAAACCAGAGCCATGCCAAATCTGCGTGTGCGACTCGGGATCTGTTCTCTGCGATGACATCATCTGTGATGATCAGGAGCTGGACTGCCCCAACCCAGAGATCCCTTTTGGAGAGTGCTGTCCAGTTTGTCCACAAACAACAACACCACCTCCAAGAGTAAGTTTATTCTCACTGTTGTTTCTTTGGTGTTGCTGCCTTCTTGATGCACGTCAACCTCAATTCATTTTGGCTTAGGTCTTCTTAAATGCTTTCTTTTCAATGCCACTTTCTGAATTTAGGCAAATACTTAGGATGGACAATGCAGCTGATAATATTAAGTCTTCCAACTCAGTTTTATGTAGATAATGGACACCAAATAGTACCAAAATAGTAGAAAGGGACAGAAGGCAGCAGCTCAGTATTACATTTTTCATTTTATGGAAAAGCATAGGAATAATGCAAACACCTTATTTTTGAGTTCATACTCAACCCATATCCATGAAAATAATGTCAACACAGAGTCAAAGAAAATCAGAGAACTTTAATAGCATCTCTGAGTCTTCATTTGTTATCAACTCAATTCTATGTCATCACAGAGTGAATTTCCTTTTGCAGTCTTATTGCTGACTTAATGCTCTGTAAAGGAAAGGTGATTATACTGTACATACCTAATTTATCACCATCTTTTTATAGACACCAACATTATACAAACCAGTTGCACTAACTTAGCCTCAGCAAGATCAAGAATGTTAGTACATGCCCAGGCCCCTTCCTAAGTCTTTCAGGGAGTGAGCCAGCTATACTGAGCTTTCAGCTTATCTGAACATTTCACCAGTGTTAAAGATCCATGAGGTTCTGTTCAAGTACCTAGGTTGCCACAGACACATTAAAAATCCTTATCTACAAAATAAGAGAGTGAGAGAGATGTGAGGAAGAGAGAGAGAAGATGCATTTCTGCAGCTCTGCAGCACATCTGTTTACACATGGAATGTCACACACAGATATGTCACACACAGATATGTCACCTAGTCTTATTTGCACCTCACTTGCAGTACTCCACTGCACCCAGGGTCCCCTGAGCTACTTCACTGAACATGTTGAGAGGTGGACATGAGTGGTATAGACAAGCATGCTGAAGATTCAAGTATACCTCCCCCTCTTTGTTTAGAGACTCTTCAGTTCTGGAGTTCCTGATAATGAAGAACACGTGAACTCCACCCACAGCCTCTCTCTTTGATGTAGGAGTTTGGTCAGGCCATTGGAAGCTGTCCTGATGACCTTGGGTGGTGTATAGGGAAATGCCATCTTGAAAGATACCAGATTGTTTCAGCTGAATATTCTTTGCTATTGAAGGTAGCAGCTGAACACAAAAATTGAAAATCCAGGTAGTACCATGTAACTGAATTATTAATTGAAAAATAAATAAATTGCAGCAGTAGGTCTGAGAATTTAAAGTTAGCAGTAGATCTGAGAATTTAAAGTTAGCTCATCACACTTCACATGCTGGAGTGAGAACGACACAAGAAAACTATCACAGCATTCCACAGTGGAATTCTGTCCCCATTGCACTCAATGGCAAAGCTGTACTGAATTCATTAGTGCCATGTTCTTGCCTCTAGGGGAGGTGTAATTCTATAAATTATCCAAGCAATAGTAGCTTGACTGACCAAAAACCCTACAGCTTTTAAATATCCTGAATAAGCATTAATGGAATTCATGTGAGAAAACAATATCAAATGTTTAAGCATTTTGCTCTTGTTAATGTGTGCAATTTTTTTTTTTTTTTGTAGACTCCTGGAGTAGTCAGCCGAGGCCCCAAGGGAGATCCTGTAAGTGCAGTTTGTTTGTTTGTTTGTTTGTTTTTTTCCCAAGGAAACCAACAAAATCAAGACCCCATTCTTCTAGTGCTTTATATCCCATTCAAGCTGCCAAGATACCCTGCTTTCATTGATGTCTGAACTGTCTGCAGCAAGACTGTACCATATAGATATTTTGAAGTGGAGCTTTAGCTTCAACATCACTCTCAAAAATTTAAACTGAAAGAACAGCATTTAATCCAAACTGTATCACGTTTGTTATATTTTTTTATATTTCTTTACAGAAGGAGAAAAAAAAATCTTTAAGACTCTACTAGCAGTAATAATTTCAGATTCAGGAACTGAACTGCTAAATATTTCTGATGTGTTTGATTATGTATCAGTTGTAATAAGGTTCCTTTACCCAAGTGTTTCCATGTGTGAATTTTGTCTCTCTTCCCTGAATGTTTGGTTGTGGCCTTGTTTAGGAGAGGTTTCCCACCACAGACACACAGCCTTTGTTATGAGTGGAAAGGTTTGTCCCTCAATGCCCTTGCAGTTGGAGGCAAGTGACAACATCTGTATCTGCTCTGTTTGTGTCTTTGCAGGGTTCTCCTGGAGTTCCAGGCAGAAATGGTCCCCCTGGCCCACCAGGACAGCCAGGGAGCCCTGGAGCTCCAGGGCCCCCTGGAATCTGCCAGTCATGTCCCAGTATAAGTGGAGGTGTAAGTCATTGTTATGTTCAGCTTCTCCCTTGGTGCTCATAGCCATGCAAAGCAATGCTGTAGGCACCTGTCCCCTGCACCTTCCCAGGGGCTTTGCTTTCAGTGGCATCCATCCCACTTGTGCCTTTGGGAAACAGAGATGGGTGGTACGTGGGGTTTTGCTCTTGTTTTGGGTGTTTGTCCATAAAATTTCTCTGGAGTGCAATTAAATCTCTGCCTTACCTTATTTTTTTAAAATTTTGGGGCCAGATCTGCTGAAGGACTCAGAAATAATCTGATCAGAAAGAGTGTGATGGAGGATTTCTCCATAAGCTTAATAGTTAGGGAAGTCTCCTACTGTCCTATATTTCATCAATTCATGTTTAATAACAGAATATTCCAACAAGACTAGACTGAAGCACTGCCCCTCTGCTGGCAGGGAAGTGCCATGCAAGTACTCTTTGCCATGGTGCCTCTTTATTTCTGGCTCACTGGATGCTGAAGTCACTTCAGAAGAGCTGGGCACACCCAGCAAGAGAGCTGATTGTATCTGAAGTGTATTAGCACTGAGCACCAGGCAGTGCTTTGTGACAGGGTGACACTGTCATCCATGCAGGCCACCAAGCCCAGGGTTACAAGATGGGACTTCTGTAGCACAAAGCTGAGAAATACTGTATGTTAAAATCATTGCTACTTTTGAGTACACTGATTATAACTTCCATATACACTTCCCACTCCCAGGTAAGCCAGAAAGTGAGGAAAGATGTCTCGTTTTTATTTAATCCTGAAAGGGATTGCTTCTGCAGGACTGAGCTGTGGATCAGCTTACCAGTCCCAGTGGGCACTGGTTTGGGGTTTGGAGAGGCAAACACAGGAGAGGAAAACAGGCTGAATTAGCCTCCCATTCCAACCCTGTATCAAAGATGTGCTGTTGGATCCTGACAAGAGCACAGGAGTCCTGCACCTGGTCAGTGCAGGAGCTGGATCCACAGTGCTTTGGGGGAACAGGAAGAACACTGCATGTGTTCAACCCTTCCTGCTCAACCACCTGTGGGCCAATAATGCATCACTCCACTAATGCCACATCATTTGACTGTCTGCTCATGTGAAATGAGTCATTCATTAGGCACAGCTAAAAGAAATCAGGAAAATGATAATGATAATAATAAACAGCTGTGCTCTTTGGAGCAACAAAAAATATTTCATCAACTTCCTTGAATGACACCTAAGTCCAACAGAAAAGAGACAGACAGAGAAAATGGGAAAGAAGCTAAGAAGGAGTCAAACCACAGTAAAAGGAGAGAGAAAGGTAATTTTGTGGCTCAGCTAAGGACCAGCTGTCAAGAAGAAAAATGGATGTGCCCAGCCTAGAGATCTAACGTCACCATGACCTCAGAAAGAAGACACTGTCTGGGATTCTCTTATGTAAATATATGGCAGCTATAGGTCAAGCTAGTACTACTCAGCAGATACAAATGAGTTATTTCTATGCATTTGTTATACCAATGTAAAAAAATACTTGGTATATAGCAATCACTTTTTTTTTTCTTTTTCTTTTTTTTTTTTCTCTCTTTCTTTTTTTCTTTATTTCTTTTACAGAGTTTTTCTCCACAGTATGACTCCTATGATGTGAAGGCTGGTGGAGCTGGTATCGGGTACCCGCAACCCATTGTAAGATGATAAAGCCTGTTTTTCTGTCCTTTCTTCTTTTTAAAAAATATATTTTCTGCTCATAGATTATACCTTGGATGTGTATGTATCCTGATTTTAATCTAACAATATAAGTTTTCATTTAATTATTGCCTGCAAGTTGAATGTGATGTAAGGCACCAGTTTGTTCAGCAACACTGTTCTAGAAAGTAGCTATAGATGATCTGGATTTTTTATTTTCCACTTTCTTTCTTCACTTTCTTACCTTCCTTTTCCAGATCTCTGTCTGTGATTCACCTTCTTACACTACCTGAATATTTTTCCTTTTCTGTCTCATGTACATTCTTCATTTATCTACTTGATATTCTTCCACTTATTTCTTCCTTTCCTTCCAACAATTTTCACCTCTTCCACTGCCTTTAATCTTCCTTCACCCACTCAGTAACATTTGTTTTTACTGAGTATGATATTCCACACTTGCTAACTTTTCCACAATTCAAACTTGCCTGATAACGAGGAAACCCTTCTTATAAACTTTATTCATTCCAAAACTCAAACTATTTTCACTTTTTCTTTTTACAATTACCATTTTTTTTACCTACAGCTACTCAGACTGTGTACTAAGGATGCTGTATCTGCCTGCTAGACATGGTCCAAGATTTTCAGGTTTTTAAGTGAGAAAAAGCATGGACTGCCTCAAAGAGTTGTACCTGAGCTATGTTTCATGTGTAATATAAATCTGAATGTTGCACCTCATTATTCTCCTTTTAGGCACTGGGATTTAGAGATATTCAACATGAAGTGTTCTTGATTCAGGCAATCTGCTACAGAGAGGGTGTGGTGAATTGCTGCAACTGGAAATTGGCTGTGCTTCATTGAGCATAATCACTATTTTCAGCCCAATTCTGCATAACATAGTTTGGGTATCACATGTTGTAGCATAGTAAGGCAGTTCCAAGAAAATGGAGGGCGGAGAGGAGAGGAATTCCATTTGATCATCTTGTGAAATAAGGTTTACTAATCACAACAGCTCTTTTTCCTGAAATATAATCATTATTTTCTCACATTCATTTTAATCTATTTCTACCTCCTTCATTTGCTAATATGATCATCCATGCATTTTTCTTCAACCATCCATTTTTGTCCTTGTTTATTCTTTGATTCATATTTACTCCTCACAGTTTTCACCCACAGCTGCCATCTGCATTCTGCTACTTGGTGTCTTAATATGGGATGTGCTGAAGCAGGCAGATAACAGAGGCACCTTCAGTTAACAACTGTGGTTAACTCCTCTCTGTTTTGGCTTTTTCCCTGGAAGTGATTAGTGATTTCTTGTGCTCTGACTCCTGGACTCAGGTTAAAAAAACACACCTAACTACTTTATTGAGCACCCTAGAACATCTTCAGGGTTGTCTGTATATTTTCAGGTCACAAGGGCTTTTATATTGCATCATAGCATACATGACCTCAAAGTACCAGAAGTTATAGGCAGATGTAGCTGAAATCACTAGAGCTAAATAATGCTTATAATTTTCATTACATAGACTAATTTCTTTATTATTTTATAAATTTATCAATTTTAATTTAAATGCTCCTAATGAATAAATATCCAAACTGAAATAATTTGGAATAGTAGCAAAACAATAAGATATAGTAGCAGCATTGGCTGTGTGTGGTTACCATGCCTGGTATTTCCTCAGTCACACATCTCTCCATTGCTGCATTCATTCCCATGGTTTTACACCACTTGTAGACTGGTTTTGTGCTTTACATCTCAGTTTCTCTTCACTTGCCCATGTAACCTCCACATATTGTCTTTGTCTCTTTCCACCAGTGCACATTCTCTAACTGGAGGATGCTCATCTGTTCAAAGTCTGGAGATTCTAGCAGCAAGCACACCCCTAACTATCAGTTTATCTCCTCAGTGTGTAACTTGAAAAAGATTATATCTCATTTGTTTATAGCCATATGTGTAATTGATTGATTGCTGTTGATGAGTTGATGGCTTTAATTCTGGTTGGATCTATAGCTACTTTATACCAAATGAGTTCTAATAATTAACAGGGACTGCTCATTGTATTTACAACAGAGGCAACCCCATTTCCCAAACCCTCACAGCTCTGCCTCTTGCTGTACTTGTCTCCTAGAAAACAGCAAATATTAACATGACGCATTTTTTAGACAAAAGAAAACTGTGAACTAATTTTTTTTTGTAGTATAGTAAGGTACTGTCCTACATATGCCAGTATAGTACAGCAATACTGATAATGTTGTATTATGAAAATTAGGTTCATGAAGTTGTAATACATGACCTTTTCTGACACAATATGACACTATTTTGTGAAACAAATTCTGTGCAATATTAACTATGGAATATTCTGCCAGTACTGCAGCACACAGTGATCCTCGTATCATCCATATATGTGATTCTTTTGGCTGTGGGAAACACACGAAGAGTTTAACAAAAGCTTTTTTTTTAAAGAACCCCCTATAGCTGCAGTAAACCACTGTGCTAACTTATAAATGTTTTCTGTTTTGCAGTATCAAATGCTTTTGTCATTGTTGCTACAAGAAGTACAAATATTGAGGTTTGATTAGTTCAGACCTCATTTCTTTCTTATGGCTTTGTACTGTTAAAGCTCAGAAAATATTTCACTGATGAAAATGTTTGCCTTACTGACTACAACAAAAGTATGGCCTTAATTCAGTGTATGTCTAGGTCATGAGGAGTCTCTAGTGTTGGGCTAATTAAGCTCAGTTACATGGCAGAGAAGCTGACACTCATTTTCTCTGTCTAACAGAAATTCAGTTCTACTTTCCATTCTTCCCCTTCAGGCAGCTGAAAAGCAGAGTTCTGAGCATCCCTCTGGGGTCTAGAGAAGGGCAGTAGTGACTCAAAAATGAAAAGCTGCAGCTCTGAAAATACCTTGGGAGTATATTAGCCAAGCCTGCAAGGAGCAACCCAGTGAAGCCTTTTCTGAAGGGACAACTAGAAAATGTATTTCTTCAGCACTGTGTGAATATACTGCTGTTTCCTTTTTACTGCACCAAGTGCAAGTCACTGAGGACTTTTCTCTGAACTAATTATGTAAAAGTTTATTTCACAGTTATTGATGGCTATTGCAACTATATTAAGCTTCATAGCTATATTACATTAATGTAACCACTGTTTTTTAATCTATGCTGTAGAGTGGCTTTCCAGGACCCCCTGGCCCCAGTGGCCCCCCTGGCCCACCTGGACATGCAGGTCCCCCTGTAAGTAACGTTAATCTTTTCATAATCGTCTTGTATTCTTTTACATGAGCTCCTCCTTTTCTCTGTCATAAACATTAAGCACCTTTTCAACTGACAAATCTGGATACTATGCTGAAGAATTTTATGCATAAATGTCATTTTGGGCTGTACCATCGCCAGGACTCAAGAGCTGAGGTCAATGTACTGTCCTGGCTTAAATCCTTGTGTACCCCTTGAGATCTCTGCAAGTCCAAGTTAACATTATTTGAAGACATGCCACTGCCTGACATCCTGCTGACATTCCCAATGTCTATCCATGCAAAATATTAACAGAAGGTAAAGGAAAGTGGGATACACTTTCAGTGAACACACCAAGGGGCTGAGTTTTTCAACATCCATCTCCTTTTAGAAGAGCAGATTAATTCTGTTTTCTTGGAGGCATGTTCTACCTGTTTCTGGTAATTTCACCTTCAGTCATTTGTTGACTGATCTGACTACAGTTTTCCTTACAATTATGGGAAATGATATAAAATATATAATTATATCAAATATAACTGCACCATGGAATGGTGCATGTAGCTGTTCACATCTTGACTGAGTTTTTTGCTGCATTCCAGGGCTCTGCTGGATACCAGGGCTCCCCTGGAGAACCAGGACAACCTGGCCCTCCCGTATGTACCCGTTCAGTATCTCTGTGTATGTTAGAGACATGACCTTAAAAGCGTGAATCTGTGTTACCTCTGCAGTGGATGGAAATTTTGCAGTTTATCCTAGTTGTTTATTATGATGCATGTAAAATGTAAAAGTATTTATGATGGCTAATGCATTTGTAGCTTGAAGACTTAATATTTGTTATTATTGCAGTTAATATTAATTACTTTTCTACAGGGACCTCCAGGCCCTGTTGGAATGATAGGCCCAGTTGGTCCACCAGGAAAAGATGTAAGTTCACTATTATTCATCCCATTATTAATAAATAAGAATAAAAAGGTTCATTAAGTTGCAAGACAACAGAGGACATTGATTTTATTGCATTTGAGAATTTTTAGCATCTCCCTATTTCTCTATTTGACAACATGTCTTCAAGAAAATAAATTTGGCTTACATGAGGTCTAATTGTCTATTCCATAAAAGGTCCAATTTTAGCAGACAGTTTGATTGATTAAAAAAAAAGTACATAAGCATGAAACAAGCAATTTATTTGGTGCAAATTAAATTAGCAGTTATAAAGAAAATCAAACAGTAGTGGTAGCTTTCTGCTCCCTTAAAATCTTACTATGGGACTTACAGCCATTGACACCATTATGTGTGTCACAGCTGGGAGTCCTGAACAGATGGAGTACCAGCCAAGGTACAAACATCTACAGCTTGTGTCCATTTTGAGTGTTTTACTGAGAAGAATAAGTTTTCTAGGATCATCTCTTGCTAAAGATTGTCTTGAAGTAGCTTAGAAATTAACTAGAATCTTGTTAAAGGCTGAGTTTATAAATTCTGGCAGTTGTTTTCCAGAAGGCAGTGACAGAGTGAACTGTCACCCTGAGAGGAATTGCACGACCACCACTGTCTTTGGTGGAAGTTTCACCTGTTTGCTCCAACTCACCTTGTTCTACCACAACTGGTGCTTTGCCAGTAAGTCAAGCAATAACAAAACACTAAAAAAAAATTATTTTCTTTCAACAGGGAGAACCAGGAAGACCAGGCAGGAATGGAGACCGCGGAATCCCTGGATTACCGGTATGGAAAATCTCCCATTAACAATTGTCTTCTAATCATAGGTTTTGTTTTCCCACATCAAGTTAGTCAGATGAACATGACACACAGTGAATGTTGCTTTGTGTTCTTCATACAATAAGTACATTATTTATTAATCTTTCTATATTTATGTGTTTAGGGTCACAAAGGACACCCTGGAATGCCTGGGATGCCTGGGATGAAAGGCCAACGAGTAAGTATTGAGTATGTTGATTATAGCTGACTCTGTTACTCTCCTTGAATGATGGTGTTGCACAGTTGTGATCTTTCTGCCATTTCCAGGACTGAATCATATAACTAAAGTTAATTTCTGCACTATGTAATCTGAACTTCCATAACAAAGATTCAAGTTTTTTCTGGTTACCTCAGTTGTAGAGCTCCATCCCCAATGCTGAAAAGGGTTCCAACAGCTGATAGCACTCATTATTGAAAATATGCCCCTTTTGGGGGCTTAATATTTTGCCAAGAGGAATCAAGTTTTCCAGAATGCAGGAGGAATACAATTCACAGATATGGTTTTACTTTCCTACAGGGTTTTGATGGAAAAGATGGTGCCAAAGGTGACAGTGGTGCTCCTGGTCCAAAGGTAAAAATTTAGAGTGTCATCTTTCTAAGCAGGTAGAGTAATGAGCCCATTATTTGCTGTATAGCTGTGCTTTGCATTTTAAACAATTAGAAAAATACAATAGTTATTAAAGAAAGCCATTTAATGCCTCCATGAAAAGAATATTAATCATTCTGAAGTAGTTAGATATTTAGAACCACATCATGTCCCAATTTTCCAGCCATAATAAACATGAGATACCAAAATGAAGGGACAAGTCTTGGTCATCTGACTTTCCTGCATAGTATTTTGAAAGCTGAGTCTTTCTGATTTTTGTTTCCTGTTTAATTTTTGATTTGACACTTGTTTACACTTCTTAGAAATCAGTTCATGCGGAGGACACCCAGCACCCCATAGAAAGGGATAACAAGTTGGGCTTTTTCTGTGTCTCTTCCCCTTGAATAAACCAAAAAGTGTTCTCACCAAAGTTCATTTTCTTTTCTCTCTGTAACAGGGTGAAACTGGTCTTCCTGGAGTAAATGGAGCACCAGGCCAACCGGTAAATATGTGCATCCTGGAGTGTTTAAATGTTAGCTGAGTTGTTCCTCATCCTTTTAACTTTACCACATGCAGTGGACTATAGTGAGTTACACAAATAAGAGCAATGTCTCTTTGCTCAGCCATCTGATTTTAGAGGCCATTTAACAGATTCATTTTTACTATGTTTTCTAGGGACCAAGAGGTCCAGCTGGAGAAAGAGGAAGACCTGGGAATCCCGGTGGCCCTGTAAGTAATTGCAGACATTGCTCTTATCTAGAGGCAGCACATATGTGGATTCAATATGTTGAGAATTCCCTACTTCCTTAAAGTAGTTGTAACGTAAAGGAGTAAAAAACTACATAGCATGAAAAAATCTCACATGAAACCTTTTCAGTCCCCAATTAAAGATGTAACACTTCTAACCCACAACACGTTCACTACCTTATTTCCTGTTTTGCTTTTTGAAATGAAAAGATTACGCATTGAGGGAGAGTTCAGTGTTTCAGCATAAGCTCAGGTTTGGCAAAGAGAAGCAGGGGGGAGGAGTGGAAGCAGAGAGTGGCAGGGGATGGTAGAGAGAGGGAAAAAATGCAATCTCAGAAGTAACTTGTGGGAAACTATAAAATTCCCCTTTGACAGGTTAGAGGGTACATCCCACACTCTGAAGGAACTCTTATTTCATAGCATTCAACACAATCAACAAAGCAGTTTACAGCCAGCCCCTTGTTTGTGCAGACACTTCATAACCTGAGCAGAGGGTCTGGTCTAATATGGCTACAAGACAGGCAACAGGGTTTAAAAAGTCATCAGTGTTCATCAGGTTTTTGGAGTGAAATTTAGTCTTTTACGTGAATCAGAAGTGATTGTTACTTTGAAGTACACATCTGTTGCAATCTTACTTAATCACATAGACAATGTGAATGTAGCTGTTATTTCCTTAAGAAATTTAATAGGAATGTATTTTACATCTTCCTGTCACAGTGCAAGTCACGTAAAGTGTTGGATATTCCTTCACAAAATATTCAGTTAATAATTACTTTGGAATTTCTCATTTAAGGAATCCTTGGGTCTTAGTTAACTAAGTGGGAAAGAACAGACACAAAAATATGGTCCCTGAGTCATGGACATGAAAGGATGTGGGTTCTGTGTCCAGGGTAGTGTTCTGCACCTAATACCTCTCTTCTTTCTGTAGGGTGCCCATGGCAAAGATGGATCTCCAGGAGCAGCAGGCCCACCTGTAAGGCAACTTTGACTTTCAGTATTTGTGTTGCTTTAATCCAATTACTTCTAGCAGATGTTCTGCAGTGCCAGCAAACCCAAAATTGGGGTGCACTTGTTCAAGAATGAGCATTATGTTTATTTGTGTTTCAATTGTGTATATTTCATTGTGTTGGTTAATGTACTTAAAGGACACAGGGTGATAGGAGAGCTTTAATACTGTAAATCAGAAAATGCAAAAATCCAAACCCAGATTATTCTCAGAGAACATATAGATGGATGGAATTGCTGCACTACATGAAGATCAAATTTTGAATGATTTTATCAAATAAATTATTCTGCTGTCTGGAGTTGGCAAATATTTTTCTTTTCCATCTGCCTAGAAACCTGAGCATGTCCACTTGGGTGTGTAACAGCTGCATTGGCTTTTTCTCCTTCTTTTTTTATAATTAGAACAAATTTTGAAAGTTTTTTATAACTTAATCTGCCTAATGATAGATTTCATGTTTTTAAATTTAAAACACAGAAATTCAGCTGAACATCTGAAAGTCAGGGTAACTAAGATGTAGGTGTGATATTTTAGGACTAGCCAAATCTCATCTTTTACAGCATGATTTATATTTGCTAGTTTCCAGGTGTTTCCTTACTCAGAGAAAAATCTCATAATCAGACTCCCTTTTTTAACTTAAGATTAATTCCATATGGCTTTTACCTTTTGCATTAATAGTATTTCTTTCACTTTAAAGGGTCCCCCAGGTCCCCCTGGAACCGCAGGATTTCCAGGCTCTCCAGGTTTTAAGGTATTCAACTAAAGACATATAAGTACGTGGGATTTGGTCCTTTCTCTAGTTACACAGCTGATGTCACTCTACATCATTATTTTATGAGCCCTCCTTTTCCTGGCTGCTATTACACTGTTTGCAAGCCTAGAACAGATGTGCTATATGCAGCATGAGACAAACCCAATCCTCATCACCTTTGTGAATGCCCACAACAAAGCACCACCAAGTGGTAGAAACCATTAATTTAATGCTGATTGCTATGGAGATGACTAAAATGCCTTCATTTTCTCATTTTACTGGGGTTTTTTTCCATAGGGTGAAGCTGGTCCTCCTGGTCCTGCTGGTGTTAGTGGTAGTCCTGGAGAGAGGGGAGAACCTGGTCCTCAGGGAAATGCTGGGCCACCTGGGCCTCAGGTACATGAATAGCACTTGGGACCTGAGAGCTGCTGTGCCACCTGCTCTTCACAGAGCCCTTTGCTCTGGTTCTGGGTTAGCAGCATTGGTTACTCTGTTATATTTATTTTTCCAGGGCCCTCCTGGAAGAGCTGGAAGCCCTGGAAACAAGGGTGAAATGGTGGGTACTTTCCACATCTCTGCCATTGCTGCACTCTGTTGGTGAGGGTCACTGTTTCGACTGGGTAGAGTCCACCAATGCCACTGTCTCTTCATCTCTGTCTGTTGTTCTCTCTCTGCAGGGACCTTCTGGCATTCCTGGTGCTCCTGGTCTGCCAGGAGGCCGTGGTCTTCCAGGTCCTCCAGGTGCAAGTGGAAACCCTGGAGCAAAAGGCAGTCCGGTGAGTTATTGATGGTAATTACACTGGTTGTACCAACAAATATGGTGGAAGTAAGCCTGGTACCATTAAAAAAACCCCATTGATCTTCTCCTATTTACTTGAAATAGTGTAATAAATTATTTTATTATGAAAATAGGAAATTATTTTTATAAATATATAACATATTTTGTTTCATATATATAGGTATTGCTATATATAAAGATTATACATAAATATGATGATAATACCTAGTTGCTTTCCTAAATTATCTACGAATTCAGATACAACAAAGAGGCTGCTTCTGTAATATGTAAAACATCAAACAAAATCTGTTTTACAATCTTATTTTCACCTGTTTTAATTCCCAAGGGCTGAGTCCACAGTCCACTAAACCCCGTGGGTTGTATCTGGTCTTTCACTGTCACTTACCCCAGCAGGCCCTTTTCTTAGAGCCTTACACCACATGTAGCTCTTTGTCAGAGAAAATACCCAGGGACTTTCAACAAAAGACTCAGTGGTGTCTGAAATAGCTCAGGAACAGACATAAAATTTTACTCAATGGCGTTTAAGATTGTATCACTTCTTTCCTTTACTGCATTTTTAAGGAGTCCCATGGCTTCCACTTACAGGTTCGGCCAGCGCATGCTGATTCCTGTGCAGAATGATAAATAAAAAAAATGAGTCAATAATTTGAAATATCATGTCTACTTCCTTGTATTTCAGTATGTCTAGTAGCTCTAGAAAGATGCCCAGCTGCAACCCATAATTTTAATTGGATTTTCTACTTTTTAGGGAGACCCTGGTAAGGATGGTGCAAAAGGAGATCCAGGCCCAAAAGGCGAGCGCGTAAGTGACTTCAAGATGTGTCCAGAGACTTCCTTCAGGGAAGCCTGAACCCTTAATCTTTCCCCATACAAAATCTGTGGGGTTTTTTGAGACTTCCAACTCACTGATTGGCTTGGTTTCTGTTGTTGCCAGGGTGAAAACGGCACCCCAGGTGCTCCTGGGCCTCCTGGTGAGGAAGGGAAGAGAGGTGCAAATGGAGAACCTGGGCAGAACGGAGTACCTGGTACCCCTGGAGAAAGGGTGAGCTGTGGTACATGACCCTTTGAGCCAAGACAGAGACAGAAAATTCTGAAGTTCAAAACACTTGCAGGAGATATTTGGCTCCATGTATCTTCTCAGAAAATTCCAGATGTGAACTGGGTTACAAAACTGGGGAGAATTCTTATCTAGTTTCTCCTCTGAATTGCAGCTCTTGGATCTATCTCAGTTGGAAAAAAATTAATTTCTTTCAGTATTTGATATAGAAGAAGCAGTGATCTTACATATCTGGAAGTTTTACCAAAAGATTTTTGCTGAGAAGCAATCATAAACTATGAGAACTACAAGGGGAATGAATAATCAAAATTTCAAAATTACTTCTCAGTTAACAAAAATAAACAATCAAAAGAATTTCTGCTCTGGAAAGTGAAATTAATGTAAATTCTTCTACATTCAAGATATGTCTTTATATCAACATCTCTATTGCTAATACATCTTCAATATCAGTAACAACAGTATTGTCAGGATGTTGTCTATGTTATAATATTTCAACTGCACACAGGTTTATTGGCTAGTATATTAAATAATTTTCCAAAAATTTAATAATTCTCTCAGTGAAATCCACTAATTGTTTCATTCAAAATAAATAGCAACATCATTACAAATTTTAGATTTCTGTTCCCATCAGAAACAAAGGAAACTGTGCTGATCTATTTGAAAGTGCTAACTTAATAATTGATTGCAATATTTGCCGAAGCTATGAGGAAACCAAAGATGCATAATGAACTAATTAATTATACTGAACATATAAAGGGGGCTGCAAAATTAAATTTATAATTCAAATTTCTTTTATAAAGATAGTAGCAAATATAACTATTAAAACAATACAACAGAGCTCTTCTCAGTATTGAATTAGAGGAAAATAATTGTCAATACTGAATCTGATTTTTGTTTTTTACAGTACTTTAGAAAACTCATAAATAATGATGCAGGGCCAGCTAAAAATAAAGGAGGGCAGGGTATAATTTCAACAGGAACACTAAAATCTTCTTACTACACTGAAATGCCACTTTCATTTTTTTTTCCCATTACTTTTCATAATGCTAAGTCTAATGGTAAATAGTTTAGAAGACAACCCAGTTACTATTACCTGTGTCATCCTGCCTGTGATCCATAATTTGTTTTTTATCTGGCAGGGCTCCCCTGGCTTCCGTGGCTTACCCGGTAGTAATGGGCTTCCAGGCGAAAAGGTATCAATCTTCCTCCAAAGGAGTCCTCCAAACTTTTGGAGAATCCATATGCATTTGGATGGACAATTTCAGATTCAATGCTGATTCCCTTGCTGTGAATCTCCACATCTCTTTCCAGGGTCCTGCAGGTGAGCGTGGCAGCCCAGGTCCCCCTGGCCCCAGCGGACCTGCAGGAGAGCGTGGACAAGACGGAGGCCCAGGTCTTCCTGGAATGAGAGTAAGACAGGACATCTCTGAGAAAAGGGGATAAACTCTGCTAGAGATGACTCATCTGAGCTGATGTGGTAGAGGAGTCCAACCAGAGATCCTTTCTATCAGTTCCTTTAGGAAGTAGTAGCATCCATTCATGGTGGGACAGGTAATGGAGCAGAGTCACAGGGCATTCCCAGGACACTGGCACAACAGAGTCAATAGGCTTTGGGAGGCTCCCAGAGCATGCCAGGCTCTGCCATGAGAAATGCCTCTAATATGAGTCAGCACTGGGTGATTTTCTGCATTAGCTCTTTGCATTTCAGCAAATTCTAACATTAGGTATTATGGGGTTTTATTGAAATATGTTTCTATATATATGTTTCAGTTATTATGTAAATAGACTTAAGTAATTAAATTAGAAATTAAGTATTTCAATATACATGAGTATTATATTTTTGGCACATTTGTAATTAGAGCAAATAAGCTGTTGGTCAGTTTTTTACAGTACGTATCAGTAAGATTTCAGAGATGGCCTATTGTGTAGACAGCATCTAATTGTACATGGAACAACATTCTGGGAGCTGTACTAAGAATTAACAACTCCTAACAACAAATATATTGACATTCAAAAGCCCAGATGCAGGCTGCTAGGAGCTAAAGATTTTATTGGCAAGGAAACTGAACTATTTAAAATACAACAAAAATAATATTTAGAAATTTAAAGAAGTTAATGAAAAAAGTGTTGCACATTGTGTTGCTTTTAGGTAGAGTAGGTGTGTAGTCAGAATTGTTTAATTTCTTTTTTTTTTTCCACCTAAATATGGTTTTCTTCCACATAATGAAAGAAATTTTTTGTGCTAATTGATTAATATCTAGTGTCTTGCTGATAGGCAACTCTCAGAAAAAAAACCAATAAACCCATAATGGCAGAATTTGTTTGCTTTCTCCAATTTTCACCTTCATGGGCTGAGGGAAATTGAAAGATCTTTATTAAAGAGGATGATAGCAAGCAACAGTTTTTATATATTTATATTCATTAATTGAAACTTCATAATGTGCACTTTAAACTGAAGTATAACACTCTTTTTTTTTTCCCTTCAATTTGCAGGGCTTGCCCGGAATTCCAGGAAGCCCTGGAAGCGATGGGAAGCCTGGCCCTCCCGTAAGTACATTGTGCAAATATTTTACCCCAGTCCTCCTGCTGACCCAACCCGACCCTAATCCCACAGCATCCACATGACAGGTTGTTATCACAGCCAGATTTATTCCCTCCTCTCTGTTTGCTTTAACTACCAGAGCCCTTTTTATGCTGCATCATTGTAAGAGCAGCCTGCAAACTCTGTCATTTGGTACCATGTAAAATGCAGAGCAGATGGGCCACAGTTGCAGAACAGAACACATAATGAGTTTGGAACAGTGTCTCCCCCTCACTCAATGTTGAATGAGTCCTGGGAATTGCTTTATTTCACCTCACAGATGCCACATCTTCCTTTCTTTGTGCTTATCCCAGGGCAATCAGGGTGAATCTGGACGCTCTGGCCCACCTGGCCCTCCAGGCCCCCGTGGCCAGCCTGGTGTGATGGGTTTCCCTGGTCCTAAGGGCAATGAGGTGAGTGGGATTTCTCCTCTTCTGTGAAATTTGACTCACCTTGCTTGGTGAGTCAGATGTTAAACTAAATTACTCCATAGTGGGGCTATCTCATACTGCAGCTTTAGACAATTGTCCACTGACCATAAACAAGTATTTCAAATGTAGTCTTTCTTTTTTGTAAGGGTGCACCAGGCAAGAACGGAGAAAGAGGCCCTGGTGGACCACCTGGACCACCTGTAAGTTTTGCTAATATTTTGTTTAATAATGACACAGTATTAATAATAACTTAATGAGTCTTACAGAAGTGGTATCACTCTCTAACCATAGCCTAATTTTGTCTTTGAATAGGGTCTTGCTGGGAAGAATGGTGATGTTGGCCTTCCAGGTCCTCCAGGACCTACTGTAAGTGTGGTGGTCCCATCTGAGGCAATGATCAGGGATCTGGCAGCTACAGATAGACACTGGGAATTTAGCAGAAGGAAAATATTCTTAATGATACAAAGCAATCTACTTTTATGAAGACAAATAAAAGAGCTCTTCTTTGCCATTGTTTTAATGAACAAATATTACAAACTTTGGTGGGAGAAAGTTGAGTCAGGTATACCCGGTGTAGATTGAAATGAAAAGTCAATTTAGAGCTCTTGGTCTTTTCAAGCAGAAATGTATTGTTGCTCCCTTTAATGTTTATGGCATTGCAGACTCCTATCAAGTTAAAACGTGTCTGCTGAATCACATCTAAGAGTTGGAGCAAAAAGAGCAACTACCATAACACCAACATACACTGGTTTTTGAGCTTGTGCAATGTCATCGTCAGGTCACAATAAGGAGGTGTAGATTAGAGGTGGTGAGGAGTTGTTTATATATTGAAGTGTTCTCAGGCAAGTTCATGGATTTTCTTCCTCATTTGTTTGATTCTAGGGTGCTTCTGGAGAGAGAGGAGAACCAGGACCAGCAGGCCCACCTGGCCTCCAGGTGCTGTGTGTTTATTGTTTTCTGATTCTTTTTAATAGACTAACACAAACACACAAAATTTAAAAAAAAAAAAAAGGTATCTGAACATTTATATTGGAGTGCCAGATATCATCATATTTTGAATATAATAGAATACAACAGATTAACCACTTGACAAATGTTACAAGGAATGAGTTGGCCACACTTCTTTGAGTCAAAAGCAAAAATCTGAAGATGTAAAATGCATAACTTATCTGTGTAACATGGATAATGCTGTTCTTTCATATAGGGATTGCCTGGTGGACCAGGACCAGCTGGAGAGAATGGAAAGCCTGGAGAACCAGTAAGTAGTGAATTGCCTTTTTTTTTTTAGCAAAAATTAATGAAAAGTTCTTCTTAAATTATTTTTCCAAATTGAGACAGCTCTTAGCTCTCCTCAAAGCAGCAAAGTCTGATTTGGGGAATCATAGGGGAGAGAAACAGGATGCCAATCACAATGCAGATGTACTAAGTAAAGTTCTAACTAACTTACATTTATTTTCTCATAACCAGGGGCCAAAAGGTGATATTGGAGGACCTGGATTCCCAGGCCCTAAGGTAAATAATAAAGAAAATTTTGTAATGGCATAAATTAATTAACAAAATATGAGCCTGAAAACAAATAACACATTTTTTATCACAGGGTGAAAATGGTATCCCAGGAGAACGTGGTGCACAGGGTCCTCCAGGACCTCCTGGAACAAGAGGTGGACCAGGTCCTGCTGGCACAGAAGGTGCCAAGGTACCCACAGAATGTCTTCCTTTTCTGCTATTCTGCTGCCATTTGGGTTAATTTTTGTTTTCTAATTATTTTTTGTTACTCCTTAGGGTCCTCCTGGCCCACCTGGTCCCCCTGGAGGCACAGGACTGCCTGGCTTACAGGGAATGCCAGGAGAAAGAGGAGCTTCTGGAAGCCCTGGACCAAAAGGGGAGAGGGTAACACACACACACACTTTTGATTTTATGCTGATTAAATGTTAGTGTCCCACAAGGCACTGGGTTTGTCCACGTCTTCACTTTGGCCTGATTTCAGAGGTGCAGATTGTGTAGCAGCACTGTTGATTTAGCAATGGGATGTGGGTCCTAGGTATTGAAAAATATGGGGTTTTCCCTCAGTTTAATACATGCTAGATACTTTGGTGCAATGGGTCTCTTGGGGGATGGGTACAGCAAAACAGTTCTGATGAATCCAATTAATGATGAGCATAGTTCATACCATGGGAAGACAATTTGGCCTGGACTTCCTTTTGAATCAATTTGGGTTCTTTTCCTCATCAAAGGATGTAGTATCTGATGCTGAATACTGGGCAAAATATCATCCCCAATTTCATTAAGGAAACCTGGCTATTGAGAGACCCCTCAGTATGAGATCCTCCCCCCCATTTAGGCTCATCTCCTCATGCTTCCTTTTTGCTCATGGTTTTTATGTCTTAAACTTCCCAGGGAGAACCTGGTGGTAAAGGTGCTGACGGCCTTCCTGGTGCAAGAGGAGAGAGAGTGAGTATTTAAACATCCAACAGTTTATCCATCAGCTTTATGCAGCCAGCTCTTAGAACAGGAGTAACCTCACACTGAATGATCTACAACAGCAACAGTTGTAATCTCATTGTGTTTCATTCCAGCAGTGCAAAACTGGGTTTGTAAACTAAATTAGGCCTACTACTGGTTTTTGTGATTACCACTCCTTGGGTCAATGTAATGGAATTTTTTAGAGAAAGACTGGGACAATGTTTTAGAAGGAAAGAAATCATATGAAAGAGAAAATCTACCTGACTGATGTTATAATGAATCACAAAAAGACATTCTCATACAGAATATTCCTACAGGTTACTAAATATGATGTATTTATACATCTATATAGCAAATAAACATAAAATAGGCCCTTGAAATACATACATCTATCAAATCCCTACCTGCAGGCAGTATATACATGAAAGTAATGAGGGATGATAAATATACAAATGCAGCTTGGTTGAGTTGGAGGAAATATAAAAAATTTATTTCACACTATAAGGTACAGATTAAATTTTCAAGAAAGAAATAAGTCAGGGAGCTAGTGAGGAGATGCGGAAGAAATGTGGATCAACTATCTAACTAAAAATTGGAGCAACAGGTCACTTTTATTGCATACCAGTGAAAGACACCTATTCATTTCAGGTAGTTTGGGATGAGGTTTGGATGGTTGGGGAAAAGAAAAAGGGAACCACTCAGTTGGAGATCTCTCACACTGAAAAATGGTGTGATTTCAGAGCATCACTCCAAAACATGGTGTGCAAATGCACTTTGGCACTGTAACTTGCTTCATTTATCATTGGCAACCTGTTTACACTGAAACACAAACACTATTGATCAAAGCATAAGAGTTAACATTGTCATATTTTGATACAAGATACATAATTTTCTCATTTTCCAATTTTTCAGGGCAATGTAGGTCCCATTGGCCCTCCTGGTCCTGCTGGCCCACCTGGAGATAAGGTAAAGCATCCTCACAAAGGGGTTTGGACTGTAAGGAGTCCCAGGGGTGGCTGTCTCAGGGGAAGCAGACAAACATCCCGTGACCATCCTTGTTTGTTCCCTGCAGGGAGAGACTGGCCCAGCAGGTGCCCCTGGCCCAATGGGTTCCCGTGGAGGTCCTGTAAGTGACAGAACCTTTCTTTTCTTCCTGTATAACCTCACCTAGCTCCTCTTGCCTGCTGTAGGTATCAGTGCTGCACCAAACCTATCAGTAATACATGAGGCTTGGGCTGTAAATAAACCAAGCGCATTCAGCTCCTGTTGACTCTTGGGATTTATAGGTACTAAAGGCTTCAGAAAATCAGGCCTTTTAACATTGCAAAGGGTTCAGAGGGCTGTGATGACAGGGCAAGGCAGGAGTTGAGCAATAGTCATGTCCATCTTGATTTAAAGTTAAGTAAACTTTTGAAAAGACTCCTTTTTTTGTATTTATATTTTTTATATTTACACTCTGGGATCTCAGTTGAACACCATGGATTGTGGTCAGGGTTCATACAGGTGTAGCTGAGTTAAGTTTACCCCATTTTAGACAATTGTCAGTTAATTCCTGAACAGCTGTATTTAGTTCTTTGGAGGAAAAGTTGTTTTGGATCAGATGTGTGGGGTTTTTCTCCAAAGGCTGGTAAGACAAAGAAACTTCAGCAGCCTTAACAGCAGTATTCTCTAACTTTTAAAGTGAAGTTTATCTTTCTAACATCTTCCATTGCTGACATGTGGTTTTCTACAGGGTGAACGAGGAGAACAAGGTCTTCCTGGGCCCGCTGGCTTCCCTGGAGCCCCAGTAAGTGTCTGCACTGCTCTGCCTGCACTATTCAGGCACACATAGGACAACATGGCTTTGTCCTTCTTCTCCTGCACTGGTAGGGCAGTAGAGTTTGACTGCATTCACACTTCATTTAATATTTAAGTTCCCTTCAGACAAGTACCTCGATAGCATTTCTTGTCACAATATCATCTGCTTTTTTGAGTGGTAATATAACACTATAATTTTTCTACAGGGCCAAAATGGGGAACCTGGTGGCAAAGGAGAAAGAGGCCCCCCTGGTCTGAGAGGAGAGGCCGGACCCCCTGGAGCAGCTGGTCCACAGGGCGGCCCTGGTGCCCCAGTAAGTGTTTGCTGTTCCTTGTTGCTATGGAGAGGTTTCTTCAGCCCTCCCTCAGCCTCAGTGGGCCCAAGTGCAAGGAGATGAACTGCCTGAAACTTATTGACACTTCCTATAATTTTAATCTTTATCAAATCCTTTGCTTTATCTACTTCCTTCCATGTAGGGTCCACCAGGTCCCCAAGGAATAAAAGGAGACCGTGGATCTCCTGGCGGGCCTGTGAGTATCTCTCCAACTTAGTCACTGCTAAATTCCTCTATTTATTTCAATAAATGTGACCTAAATGAAAAATAAGAACTTCAATGACTATATTAATAGTATTAACAGTTGAAAAATATTTAAAGTGTTCTAGAAGGAGTAATTAAAGTAGAAGTCTTTAGTGATCTGGATTACCTTGATTTTAATATAAGGTGCCAAAATAGCTTTTGACACAATGACCCAAAGCTCTACAATGGCTTATCTCAACAGTTATTAAACTTACTTGCCATCTTTGCCAACTATCTCAAATCCCACTAACTCAAGTTTAAGGAGGATATATGACCTCCTCTTACAAAAAAAAAATAAATTTGATTTTCTGTTCCCTATCAGGACATATAATTTAGGTTTCAAACAAAACATGACTATAATTTAAACACAGATGTATGTAAAAATCCATTTATTCCCGTTTCCCAGTTTTCAGAAAATAACAAAAATATTGATCTCTTCTAGGGTGCTGCTGGTTTCCCTGGTGCTCGTGGTCTACCTGGTCCCCCTGGTAACAATGTAAGTTGGTTTATCCCCCTTTTCTTTTAGTCTTACTTTGTGGATACATTTAGATGTGTATTAATATATAATGCAAAAACATTCTGAACATGATGGTTGTACTTCAGGAAAAAAATCTGCAAAAAAGAGTTTATCGTCCATACAGTATGGAATAGAAAGTAGGATTTTAATTAAGGTACCATTAGAGTCAATGCAATTCTTTCCATTCATTGGTTCTATAGCTAAGACTATAATGAAAGCCACTTCATTCTGAACATGTCCAAGACACCATATTAAAGGCATATGGCAGGAGTGATTCAAGAAAGCAGAAGGGCCTGCGGCCTATTCCCAGTTTCTGTGGTAGAGCCATGAGTAAGGAATGTGTACCCTGTGTTGGATGCATTACAGGCACTGGGCATCCAAAATGTGCAGGTGTATGTCCAGACAGCAAGGATAAAAAATGCCAGCTGTGAAAGGGATACATGAAAGGATTCTCTTACAACACCAGATCAGATTTGGGTGCACAGGGCTGGACCCCAAATCTGCCTTCAGGCAATGACTCAGGTCTGGCTGGTTTTCATGAGACCAATGCCAGTGCATGTGTGCAGCTCACACTTTCCTTCTTAAAACTCTTTCCAGGGTAGCCCAGGTCCCCCTGGTAACGCAGGCCCTGCAGGCAAGGATGGGCCTCCTGGACCCCCTGGCAGTTCTGGTGCTCCTGGAGGTCCAGGACCTGCTGGAATCAGAGGTGAGCCCGGCGCACCAGGAGAAAAAGGGCCCCCAGGAGCCCGAGGAGAAAGGGTAAGTGTCCCTTCAGCCAGGGACCGTTCCAGCAGGAGACAGGGATTATGTCTGTCCAGAACAAGCAGCCACCTCTGGAATGTTGAAGGTGCTCCCACTGACTGCAGTGACCTTTTCTCAAACAGGGGGCTCCAGGTGAGCCAGGTCCTCAAGGCATCGTTGGCGGCCGGGGGAACACGGGTCTGCCAGGCCTGCGTGGCCCCAGCGGCCCACCCGGGATGGCAGGGGCCAAGGTGAGAGCCCTTCACTGCAGCCACAGCCTCAACCCTAACACAACCCCAACCCTGCTGCTAAAATTAGCCTAGAGAGGCAAAAAGTGATAAAAACAGCTTAGAGACACAAAAAGTAATGAATGTATTGGGGGGTTTAATGCTTTCTAGTCCAGAGATGAGAGAATTTACAGTTATTTCTGTTTACATGCATAAGATCAGGCTTTTAAATGGCTGGTATCCAGCTGCTGTAGGATGTGAAGTTGTATTTCAGATTATATTATATATATTATATATCTAGGAGTATATTACCCACTTTGCACACTTTGGGAGGGTCATGAGGAGGAGGAAGCTGTAACCTCTCCTGGGTACAAGATCCAAGTCATAGTATCACCTACCACTTGTTGTTTACCCTTGCTTAGTTCTCAATATGTTTCTTGCTTAAATATTATGATCCAAACAGAAAAGTACTCTCACATCCCTTCAGAAAAGATGAAGTGAGGCTTGGTTTGTATTTTATCACTAATATAGTGATAGACCAGCATTTTTTGGTTAACAGCTTTGGCCACTGTTTTCAGGCACATAAGAGATATATATCTGTTTATTATTTCTTTGTCAGTTAATGAGGAACATTCAATGGCCTTCCATCAATAATACCAGCAATGAAAAGAAACCAGTTTGGCCAAGTTTTTTTTTCTCTTGTTTTGTGTATTCACAACCAGGAAAGCCATATTGGCCCATCACTTCATTAGGTCTCCTTCGAAATCCCTGCACAGTTAATAAGATGCAAAATGTACTGGTATCTCCTAAGAACATTATCTGCAATGGAATCCTTTCTCTTTTTGTTCAGGGTGAAGATGGTAAACCAGGCACCAATGGTATCCCAGGAGAACGTGGTGCTCCGGGTCCCCAAGGTCCTATTGGACAAAGAGGCTTACCTGGAGAGCCTGGCAGAGATGTGAGTGGATGGGATTTCCCTGCTACCTTGTGAGTTACAAATGGGAGCTTCTGGGGGCAAATATGCTTTAAGGTTCACAAGGCAGGGGCCTGGGCAGATTCTGCCCTCCTGTAAGGTGTGGCCTCCTGTCCCTGCTATCCCATTCCCTGCCTGCAAACATCATCTGTCGCTCTTGGAACTGCTCTGCCTACAAAATAATGCAGGTCTTACAGGTCTTTTAGGAGCCACTTCACCTCCCTCTTGAAACCACTCCAACTCTTCCCTCTTGAAAACTCTTTCTTTGATGAGCATTGTTCAAGCTTAGTGGGAAACAAGCTGTCTACTGGTAATGCAGTTTATGAACAAACCGTGCCACTCTGTTTTGCAGGGTAACCCTGGCTCCGATGGCTTGCCTGGACGTGACGGATCCCCAGGAGGCAAAGTAAGAAATCACCAGTATCCTTAGACTGCCCAACAAATAGGACATGAACTACATGGCAAATATGCAATCTATATGCTATGTAATTTGTTCTTTGGACCTCTTGTGCTCCACTGAATGTACTCCTTATATTGAGTTCTATAAAACATGATGTTTATTACTCCTTACTATCTGCAGGGTGACCGTGGTGACAATGGCTCTCCTGGCCCTCCAGGACCCCCTGGCCATCCTGGACCTGCAGGTAATGCTGGTGCACCTGGAAAAGCTGGTGAAAGAGGATTTCAGGTAAGACCAAAGTAAATGGGTTACTGCTTACTTACATATCCTTCCTAGGCAAAGTCCGTTTCATGCAGGAATAGAGAGGAAGTTTTAAAGAGTTTGCTATTGTCAGAGTTTCTTGATATCAAGGACTGGTTCTACAAGAATATCCAGAGGAAAGACATCTCAGAGTTTATGTTCTGACAACTTGAAGAAATTAAGCCCAAAATTAATGTACTCCATAGGATGCCAAAAAGCACATCATCCCACCAGGCCCTGTCCTAATTTCCATCCCATCTGGTGCTGATGCAGCACAAGCAATGTGTTATTTATTTAAACTAAGGGAGTAACTTTGGAAGCCTTCAAGTTATTTCTCAGGAGTGCTGACACCAGCACACTGAGCACCTCACTGAGAGAGGGAAGAAAGGCTGTAGTGCCTGTGTACAGATCAGTGCCTGCAGGCAGCTAAAAAAGGCTGACATTGGTACAAAAATGGCCTGGCCAGGATTCTTGTTGATTCTAGTGTGTGTGGAGCTTCCCCTTGTTTCCCAACACCTGCTGGCTGTGAACATACAGCTTATCTGGAAATAAAGAGGTGGGCTAGGCAGTTCCAAGTGATCCACACCTTCTCATTCTTACCATGTCACAGGGTCCACCTGGCCCTCCTGGCTCTACTGGTCCTGCTGGTGCTCGTGGTCCTGCTGTAAGTCATATTTAAAGTATTTGTGATGTCAACCATTCACTATTTCCTGTTATATGGGCAATGCTCTTATCTCCTTCTTCCTTCTATTGCAAATCTACCCTTACAGGGTCCTCAAGGTCCTCGTGGTGATAAAGGTGAACCTGGTGAACGAGGGAGCAATGGCATAAAGGGTCACAGAGGGTTTCCTGGTACCCCTGGTCTCCCTGGCCCTCCTGTGAGTATTTTGCATTGGATTGGGAATTACAGCTGATCTTAGCTTCTGTGTTTAGGCCCCAGGTACCTAATCAACCTTAGCTAATTTGATGGGAATCTATGTGAATTTGATTGTCAGATGTTTCAAAATCCAGATTCCCTGAATCAACCTGACATAAGCATAATTAAAGAACTGGAAGAAGCTGGTAGGAAGTAAAGATGGGTTTACTACAACCCTTTCAGTAAAAAATTCTTATATATTTATTTATAATAAAATCAGGCTATTCCTGATTTAATTAGGAAAGAAAGAGGTAGGGGTTGAAATGCCTATGTCTGTTAGAAATCTATCCTAGAAGGACAACTAAAGCTACTCAGAGTCCAAATACCTCTCCTCTGCCATGTATCTTTTATACTGGGGCAAAATGGGCAAGAAATTGTAAACTACTGAATTTCATACTCTTTCTATCCCTTTCTTACCCTACAACATAAATTACCATTTGAACATAGCTAAGAGAACTGAAGGTCAAGAATAGACAGGCATGCCATAGATATTTATGACCAGTAAAGGTTTAAGAAGGGATTTATTCTAAAAAAATCTACAAATCCCCTCATGATACAAGTGAGATTCAAGAAACCAAAGGTCACACAATTAACATACCAAAGATGGCACCAGTACCAATCTATTCAACAAGACAATAGAACCTGGGGTCTAACATATCACATGAGGGGAAAAAAAAAGATAAATTCTCGTTTGAGGAAAGGTTACTTTTAAACAAATGCTTTAGTTCTTTGCAGTGCATGCAAGAAACAAATCTGTAAATGTATTTGAAATCATGAATATTTGTCAAATTATTTAAATAACATTACTGGTAATATTAAAACTGCAGCACTTTGGCTGTAGCTACATATTTTTATGAATATTAGGGTTCATCCAAAGCTCATTGGTGTCAGTTGGCTTTCTTGCATTTTGGATAGCACATCTCTATATGAAAACATGTAAGAGAACATTCAATATTTTTTTCTGATTAAAGAATGGCCACCATTCTCTCATGTCTGGCATAGCCTTTTTATAAGGATATGTTTTGTATAATCTTGAAGACATTTTCAATGTCTTTATTGAAGGCATGTGCTGGTAGTTGCAAGATATTACTAGGAGGTGTATGACTGACTTTTCCTTTTTTTTTTTTAGGGTCCCCTGGGTCCACAAGGTGCAATTGGAGGTCCAGGAGCTTCAGGTGCAAGGGTAAGAAAAACTGCTTACTCAGCCTAACTGCAAGGAAAGTTCAGACTGTTCAGTTAATATAGACATAGATACAGACACAAATTTTAATTGGCCATCTTAACAGACAGCAGCTGAAGAAAGGAAAAACGCCTGAGAAATCATACAGAAATATTTTAAGTACCTCACAGTGTATTTCTGAATTATCTGATAAACTATTCTGTGTTCTTCATTGTTCTAGGGTCCCCCAGGCCCAGCTGGGCCACCTGGAAAAGATGGTACCAGTGGCTACCCAGGTCCAATTGGTCCTCCCGGCCCTCGTGGTACCAGAGGTGAAAGCGGCCCTGCCGTAAGTAAATGGTGCAAACTCACACCAGCAAATCTTTGGGAATATTCATGAAACAGAGGATGCTCAACTTTAAATAGCTCCCTCAGAAACTCTCAATTTCATGGACAAGATTTGTGGCAGGAGGTTATCTAGCTGCCAAGGCTAAATCCAAAGCCATGCAGCTCGTTTGCAGTTTGGTGTAACTATTGATGCACTGGGTGCTGTGCTGGTCTCAGCTGATCACTGACTTTTCTGCAAACAATGGAATCTCCTCCTCTCAGTTTCCCTTTGGGTCTGAGAAGCCATGGAATGGGGTTCCTAGACTGCTCTAGAGAGGCCAGAGCTGCAAAGGTGTCACTATCACAGTCACCTGCTAAAGCCAAGAAATGGTCATTCTCTGGATTTTAGTGGAAAGGGTTTCTTCTCAAAGCCCATACATAAAGATGGTCAAACTTGACAAAATGAAGGGAAAAAAATACAATTTTAAGAAAATAAAGGCCTGGAAAATCTATTAAACAGATGTTTATACATCTGTTTAATTAATGAACAAGTAAACTACATATTTGTGTAAGAATTTTCATTTTTTTTAAGACTAGGGCCCACACAGACTTTTAGTTTTAACCTATTCACTAATGTTTTAGGGTCCACCAGGGCAGCCTGGTCTTCCTGGTCCTGCTGGACCTCCTGGCCCATGTTGTGGTGGTGGTGCAGCTGCCCTGGGTGCTGGTGAGAAAGGTCCAGTTTCCTATGGGTATGAATACCGAGATGAGCCCAAGGAGAATGATATCAATCTGGGTGACATCATCTCTTCAATGAAATCCATTAACAACCAGATTGAAAACATCATTAGTCCTGACGGGTCACGGAAGAATCCAGCTCGTAACTGCCGAGACCTGAAGTTCTGCCATCCCGAGCTCAAGAGTGGTATGTTTAGGTTTTAGTTTCACCAGTGGTAGCAGGTCTTGGGCACTGTTTTGGTTTTTCTAACTTGAGAATTTAAATGTGGGTATCTTCCATAAAAATTTGACTTTTTTTCAATCAAATGTGATGAAAAAGATGATAAATGTAAAACCAATTTGAAACATAATTAACTATGCATTTACACAGAATATATATTTGACTTCAACTCCACTAATTGTGTCCTTAGAAGTGAACATATGTTTAAATCATTTTAGGGGAAAAAGAAAAATATTACAAGTTCTAAATTTATTCCAAATTACATTCCCTTTACAGAATTCACATGAACTGAGTATCTTTTTATATCATCTTATGTTCTGTGGCATCTCTTCTGTCAAAATTAGTACATTTCCTGATTTGGCTCAGAAATCTTTCATAGAAATAAGGCCATCATGCAGTCAGGTTCTTCTCCATATATATTAAACCCCTTAACATTTTCCCTTACCTCTAGGAGAGTACTGGGTTGATCCTAACCAAGGCTGCAAGATGGATGCTATTAAAGTCTACTGCAATATGGAAACTGGTGAGACCTGCCTCAATGCTAACCCCAGGACTGTGCCAAGGAAAAACTGGTGGACCAGTGGAAACAGTGGAAAGAAACACGTTTGGTTTGGAGAGTCTATGAATGGAGGCTTCCAGGTGAGAAATGAGCACAGTTAACAGCCCAGATTGTGCATACTAAAACATACACAACACACTAAAAAATAATTCTGATTAAACTGAATGAGACAGTTAGTATGTGAAAAAATCCCGATGTGGACTAAGCCTAGACATGACTGAACAAACACTGTGCCTATGTTGGTACTCTGCAGTTCAGCTATGGAGATCCTGAGCTCCCAGAGGATGTCTCTGAAGTTCAGCTGGCCTTCCTGCGCATCCTCTCCAGCCGTGCCTCCCAGAACATCACCTACCACTGCAAGAACAGCATTGCCTACATGGACCACGACAGTGGGAATGTTAAAAAAGCTCTGAAACTCATGAGCTCTACAGAAAGTGAGATCAAGGCTGAAGGAAACAGCAAATTCACATATGCTGTTCTGGAAGATGGCTGCACTGTAAGTAAACAGGAATTTAGTGCTGTAGTTAACAAATAACTCCCTCTAGATGACTAGACCCATAATAAAGGAAGAGAGCTTTGCATGGCCTGGGTAAGGAAAGGACACAGCTACAGCTAGTAGGGGGAACCCAGATTCTGTGCACCAGAAGTGCAATTCCTGTAGCAACTGTAGGAAGTGAGGTGCGCTTCCACTGAAATCTGTGCTCTACAGATATCTCCTTGCTTTAGAGTCAATGTCAGAGAAGTCACAGCCACCCAGTTTTCATCCATCCCCTGTCAACTCTAAAACTAGTCATACCAAACCATGGCTCTATGGTTGAAGCCATGGGCTGTGGTTATGGGAAGGGGCAAACACAGTCATTTTGCAGATCCAGCATTGCTTCCCTGCAGCAGATTGTCCTGGAGGGGAGCAGGAACATCCCTGGGCGTGCTGGTCTGACAGCACCTGCAGCCTTTTCAGTAACAAATGGACAGCTCTAACACTGTCCATGAGTTCTCCCTCCTGGGGTCATTTCCACAGAGATGGCAACCAGCCTTCAACAGGGTGAGAGGGTTATTGCAGAAATAGGAAATCGGAAATCCGATAAGCTGTGGTATGACTGCCATGTAGGCCAGCACTTGTGTCTCTAACAATTTTTTCTTTTCTCTTCAACTTCACAGAAGCACACTGGTGAGTGGGGTAAAACAGTTTTCGAATACAGGACGCGCAAGACCGTGAGGTTGCCAGTGGTTGATATTGCACCATTAGATATTGGTGGTCCTGATCAGGAATTTGGCGTGGACATTGGCCCAGTCTGCTTCTTATAAATCAAAGATCCTGCTTTTTCTGAAACCCCAGCAAACAGATTCACACTCCAACTGTGCTCCTTTGTTTCAGCCTTGTCAGCTAGTACAGGTGCCCATCTGTATCCCAGTTATTTATTAACAAAATTTCTGGGGGAAAAATCAATTTGATATCAAGGGTTGGTTTGGTTTTTTTTGCTATTACACAAAATACAGTAAAAATGCTTTTTTTGCTCTATTTTTTTTTACTGAATTCCATCTTCAAAACATGTCTCCGTGGTGCTATAATGAAACTTCAACACTTAATAAAACAACACTGTGTTCTATTAGTTGAATGTTAGCCAACTTACAAAGCACTGATTGCTCCCAGTACCAAAGTTTACCCTTTTTTCAAGATGCAGTCCATAAAGCTAGAACGACCTCCCTGTTTCAACTACCTCAACATGGACAGAAACTGGGATGTGTCTGATGAGTCAAACCAAAAATCAATCAATTCAATCAAAATGCATTGGACCCAGTGGTCAATTCTAGGGATTCATTTGGTACAAAATTGTTATTTCTGTACTGATTAGCTGTGAAAGGTACAGTTTATCTTAAGAGTTTAATTCCTTAATGTCAGTAGTCACCATAATTTTATTGTTGGATTGTATTCTGTTGTCAAAGGTGCTTCTCTACTTTCCTGTCATTGCTGGTCAAGACCACTAAAATTAGGGAAGTGTAAAAGACTAATATGATGGTGCTAATGTATTTTTCACTCCTAACTCTGCAAGTCAGGGTTATTGACTTGCTCAAAAAAGCAAAAAATTAAAGGATTTAAAGCAATTGTAAATGTCTCCTGTCAAAGATCGTCATTGACATGTCATAGTTGAGAATTTTCTCCCTTCACTCTGTAAAAGTCAAAAAAGATGCAAAATTGTGAATTTCTTCTGTCACGTTAACACATTTATAGTGTTGAAGGTTAACCATCTTTGTAAGCTTTTATATGGTTGTTGGTCTATTCCTTACAGAGACACATAATAAAATATCTTAATAAAATTTCTTGTTGTTTCATAAAACTGACTTTCTTTTTTAATTTTACCTTTTGTGTCTTTGTTCAAACAAATGAACAAGGCAGGTCACAACTGTGGTACCACTATGATTTTTCAAAGATCAGTTCCTCTGTTTGAAGGAAACTTGGTAATCCTAAGGGATGCAGTTTATGAAATTTTCTCTTTCTTGCTTTTTCTACTCCTCTGTATCCAGTAGCTCACATTTGCAAGCACAGGCAGCTTCTCTGTCAGCAGGGACTCAGCATCACCCAGAGCAGGGCCCATGCACCAAGGCAGGTCATTTTAGAGGAAATAGAAGATCTTAACCTCCCCTACTCCAAGAAACCTGCCTCAGTCTGAATAACCAGGCAGTCACAGGCTACCAGCCTTTCAGGGGGCAGCTTAGATAAAGGTTTTAAGGCTCCCACAGGGCAGGCCAGAAGCACCAGCAGTTTGACAAAGCTTTTTATGGCCAGTGGAGCTGTACAACTCAGTCATGCCCAGATCCTAGCAAATTTAAGGAGCAACAGTAGTTTGGCAGTGCCTGAGCTTGAGGCCAGAAGAAGGAACTAAACAGCACCACGGAGCCCAGGCCAGGAAAGCTCTCCCACAGTCAAATGTTGAAAATGCCACTCAGCCTTTCCCATGGAGCAAGGGCAGAGCCTGTCCCTACATCATTATTGCACAGCCCAGGACCATTAAAGATATTCTACAACAAGATCAGATAACAAAAACTAGGGATTAAAAAAATCCAATTCTTAAAAATTCTCTTTAACAATATGGATTATGCATCCTCAGAGAATACTTTCTGATTCACTCAAGGAGGAAAAAATAAATGAACAAAGAAATGCTGTTTTTTTTAAGATATCCCACCAGATTTGAGACTGAGCCAAGACACTGCCCTGCTTTGGCACTGTAAATTTGGACATTGCTCACACAGAAGGAAAACAGTGAGGCTCTGGGGAGGCCCTTACAGCACAAATGCAGCATCACCACAGACGTGACTCCACTTAATGCAACATATAACAGCAATGCCAACAATTCCAAAAAAGTACTGGCTCTTGCAGGAAACCTCCTCATTTGATGGTGAAAATAAACTACTCTTTATAGAAAATGCAAATTGCATGTACTAAATAATATTAATCTGACATCAGTTACATGGTAGGAAGCCTTTGATTGGAGTTTTATAAAAGCAGCTGGTAAGAATGCTGGCTGTGGAAAAATGCATTGGAAACACCTGTTCTTAATTGCCAGGACAGAATAGAAGAAAATAGCCTTTGCAATACCCAGTGCTACTGGGACTGGGAACAATGGCTCAACACTAAAACTCAAGCTTTGGGGGCTGCTTTCTAAGGCACACACACTCATCAAGTCTTCCATTAATGATGTCTACTAATGAAAGCTGGTTTTCTGGAACATTTCTAGAAAACAGAAACAACCAACACAACAACCAACAAGCACAAAATATTTACTTGATATAAAAGCCTTCATCTTTTTCAGAGCCACTAATTAGGCTACCATGGCTGTCACATATCTGTACTTTTATATCACCACATTACTATTTTGGGAAAACAAGAAAAAAACATAACAACCACAAAATGCAAAACCAAAAAACAACACTTAGAAAAAAAAGCACCCAAAAGAACCCCAGCAAAAAAATCAACCTACCAAACCCTCCCTAAACTAAACCCTGCCACAAAAAGTTGCCTGAATCGTACCAGGAGTGCAAAGTATGACTGATATACATTTCAATATTGCCTTGAAACTTCAACTTTCCAATTACTTACAGGTCATCACCATTTGCAGGACACCAGAGCTTTTCTTCTGTTGGAGTCCATGGCATGAGGACTATTTCAACATCTCCTTTCTGAACTTTTTTAATTAAGATTATTTTAAAACACTCCAAAACACAGCAGAAAGCCAGCAAACCCTTCTCCAACAGAAGGGCTTTGCTATCTAATTAGACCCTACTTGTTAACAAATGATAAACACCTGTGACTCATTCCTCACCCAGTGTCCTCTTTATTGGCTTGTGGAAAAAGCAGATTTTTTTTTTTTTTGCTGTTCCTAAAGATGTTGTCCAATTCCTCCCAGGACTGACAACAGCTTCACAAGAAAGCTGATCTGTTGTTTGAGGTGTTCTCTTTGTGCACACAAGTTCTCCTTTGGGGCAGGGTTTAACACAGGTGATTCTCAGCTGTAATTCAGCACAGTCTTCATGCTTCTTTCATATTTATTTCATACATTAAGAAGCATTACCTCTGATTTTAACACAGGCTGAATGTCTGAATAGCATGACAGCAGGTAAAATAGGCAGGCTAAAAACAGTCTAAATGTTCTGGTACTCAGATAGCAATTCTGCCCAAACAGGCTCCTTGTGGATATTCTGAACTCTGCAGCACCTGACTGAAATCACACTCTTCAACAGAACCTTTGAACTCCCAGCAAGCAAACTGTGAAAGAAATAATCCAAGATTATTTCTTTCTAGCATAAGCACACCATTTGGACAACATCTATGGATTCCCAGTTTCTCTGGCATTTTCTATTTCAGGCATTGAATTGCTGTTACCCTTTGTCATTATTTTTAAACTATAATACCAACATTGAATAGGTATCATTTTATTATATTTTTATGTATTTACTATATATTTTATTATGTATTTTTACTGTATAGTTTTACTATATATTTACTATATATTTTTATATTTATTATTTACTTTACGATATTTTTATTTATATACTTTACTATATATTTTACTATAATTTTCAGCCATGAAAATGATTTTTAAACTATAATACCAACATTGTCTAACTATAATTTTATTATATTTATGTATTTTACTATATATTTTACTACATATTTTTACTATATATGTATTTTACTATATATTTACTATATTTTCTTTATATTTACTATATACTTTACTATCCATTTTTACTATATATTTTATTATATTTATATATTTTACTATATATTTTACTATATATTTTACTATAATTTTCAGCCATTGAATTGCTGATTGTTACCCTTTATCATGATTTTTAAACTATAATGCCAACACTGTCTAATTATCATTTTTACCTTGTTTTTCCTATGATATTTGCATACTTGCAGGGAATCTTTTTTTCCTTGATTAGCATTTCTAAATTTTCATTTAGTTTAACTTTTCCTTTTGCAACTGCTTTATCCTCTGTCTTCCTGCAACCCTCTCTCTGCAAGACCAACTGCCTTGTGAATATCAAACCTCCAGTATAGCATCAAGTTCCTGAAAAAATTAATTAAAATATCCATAGATTATGAGTCTAATGCTCAGTCTCAGGCAGCTAAAGGGGAGAAAAGAAACCCAGGAGCCCTCACCCTAGAGTAGGAGAAAAAAAATCATAGTTTTTTGCTCTAAATCCATCTTTGGACTTTTTTGTTGCCTCCATAGAGGGAAAACCCCATAAAAATAAAGTTTTTCTTCACAGTTAGTCTAAAACTGAGGTGCATAAATCCAAAAGTGTGGGTTGAACAAAGCCTCTCACCCAGAGAGGGCTGAAGCCATGAATTCCCTGTTTGCCTTCCTTTACATCCTAAGCCTCCAGAACTGCTCAGTATAAACTGATCTAGATGAAAACACCAACACCTGCTTTCAAGGATTTAAATTTCAACGTGCCCTGCAGAAAAGAAGAAAATATTATATTCCACATAGTTGAAAGAGAGGCATGAACCCAAATGAGAGACAGGAAAAATCAAGGAAAGAAGTTGCCCACACAGTAATAGGACTGATAGAAGAAATCTCTAATTCTGATCTACAGCTTCTCATTCTGTTACACCAGCTGATCTCATTTACTTCACAGCACCATATTCCCATGGCTCTCTGAGAGAAGAAAAGAAACAAGAGGAAATAGCCCTTCCTCAAGGAGTTTTTCAGGACATATCAATGACTTTAAAATATCACTAATTTAGCCTTTAATATTACCTTGGAATTTGCCTTTCCAGTTAACTGCAAGTT